CTTTTTCTGCTCGTCTAGAAAAAGTATTCACTTTGTTCATAAATTCTAATATATATTTGCAGTAATGGTATGTTGAAATAATTATAGATGCTATATAAAAGTAAATTTTATTTCTCACAGAAATTGTATTTAATATTTTAATTTTAACTAATCATTATAATTTATACTATAATTGTAATATGTTCTCCCAAATATTCGAATTAAGTTCATTAAAATTAGATAGCTTTATATAACAAATTTTTAAATTTTATATTGTTTTATAAATTTATAATTTTTTATAAACTAGATATGGATTTAAAGATAAATTCTTAACTAGTTTGTAATCGAATAAAAAATTATAATAACTTAGTAATTAAATCAAATTAATTAAATGATAAGAATATATTAAATATAATTCTCGGAAAGTCAATATAATAAAAATGAAACATATAAGCCAATAATAATTGAAATTTATTAAATATAATTCTTAAAATATAACTTACAATTATAAGTTATTATAAAAATAATGTCATATACCTATTAACTAAAATTAATGAAGAACTTTAACGTATTCATAAACATTAATAATAATTTTCATTGGCTTGTATACTTTAATTTTTGTGACTTTAATATTTTTATTTCTAAATTATTTCTTATATGATATGATTATTTTCATATAGTCCATAATTCTTTTTAAACCAGTAACTATAGATGATATTTATGATTTTTTATTTCCAGTTTTATTATTTTATAATGTATTGTTGTTATAATTTTGTCAAATTTACATGAGACATATTCTTTAATATAAAGCTATTTAGTTATATGTTTTAAAATGTATTCTCGAGTACATATTGATAAAAATTAATTATTTTATTGATCATTAGTGAGAGGCAATACGGTTAGAAGAAAAAACTTTTCTCCATAATGTAATAAAAGGAGTACTTAGTAAAGTAATAAGTCTAAATTAATTTGTTTATCATATATGAACATTGTTCACTTTTGCTTACAAAGGAAACTTTCGAACTTAGTTGCGACTACAACTTATATCGTAATAAATGACAAGCAACAAAGATTGTACGATTGTATAGAATAAAGCATCATATTATACTATAATATGTTAGTAAGATTAAATGAAGTTAAATATGAGATAGATTGATCACAGAATTTAAAGTATGATGAAATTCTACTTTTGATTTAGAATCTGCTTATCATAAACTATGTATAAATTCAATCGCATTCATGAAAAGAAAACCTTTTCTTTAAATTAATATGTTTAAACATTATTGTGTCTATCGTTTGACGATATTCAATCGAAATATTTTTTAGCTGAGATAATAGCTGTGGTCTCAATTTTTTATTGTAAAATATGTAATAAGATATGCAAGTACAATACGTAATACATTTAATGGAAATAAACAACAATTAATGGCGCGGCATAATCAGGAAATTAAATTATGTGTAGACCATTAAAATAATTTTCTTGAAATCCAATAATATATAATAGCAAATGATATAATATAAACAGAACTAATAAGTTTAGTAGTTATTTATTTTTATTAATATTGAATATTAAAAATTATCAAAAAATTGTACATAAATATATTTGTATTTTATTTATTACATACACAACAAAAATACATATTTATTTAGATACCTGCATATACAATATATATATGTAAATATATTTGAGTGAATATAAATGAAAAATGTAATGAATCTATTAAAAAATTTATCGTAAATATTTTTAAAATTTCTGTAGCGATTATTTTTATTTAGTACTAAATAAAACTAAAAATTTGATGTTTAAAATTTGGTAATAAAACGTCACAAATATACATAACCATTTAAAAACTATTCTAGCTGGAGCATAATCCTGTACTAAACATACCAAAGTCCTAGATATAAATATACATTTTATATTAATAAATGTCAGACATTTTGATAGAGATTGATTGTTATATTTGGGTGAAGGAATATAGGTTAAAGCCATCAAAGATATAAATTTATAGATTATATAATAAATTAGCTGCCAGTTCAGATGTTTTTAATATAAATTTGTATTGATTTGAAAGTGATTATCGAATACTATATTTAAAATGCCATTTATTTAAAAACCTTAAAAAATTTATACAATTTACTAACCAAATTATTTATTTTTTATCATTTTTTACTAAATATTTAATTTACTTTTCTATTTTTTACCCTATTTAAAATATCTTACCTGATTTTCGCACTAATTGAATAATATCCATGTTTTTTATATAAAATTTTTTTTATTATTTGCATTATACTTTTAATAATTTTTATTAAAATCTTGCAATTTTCTTACTTTAATTTTTATCATTTTTTATTTAAAACATTAAAATCTTTAATATTAATAAACTGTATCGTGAACTCAATATTAGCTAATATTACAAATGTAAATAATATAGTTTATATAATTATTATTTACTTATTAACAATTTTGATAATAAATATTAATTTATTATTATTACTAATCTTATAGTTAAATTATTTCAATATACCTGTTATGCATATTTAATTATTTACCATAATAATAAAAATAATAATTTTTACACATTATTACATTTTTATAGTTACTATTTTTTAGTTTATTACAGTTAGAAACAAATTTTAAATTTATAATTATAATTTATAAAAATCAAATTGGATATTAGATAACTAAGAAATTTCAATCCCGTGTTATTTTACATTCCTTAAACAATAAAACATGGTAATTTTTAATGAATTATTAGCAGTTTTTTTTTACACCCAAGTATATATTTGTATCTATTCAAACATTATCATGGCTGCTTTTGATCCCCAATCTGTATCTTGCTCTATCTTGCACTATCTTGTACTCAGACTTTGACAATTTCACTTACTTTCTATCAACGAATACTAAAAAATTAATATAAATATATATTTCTTCATTAACATAAAATAAAAATCTTATAAGTATGAATTAAATAATTTTATTCACTTATATTTTTTATTTAAATATTAATATAATTATTTTTTTTTTTTAAATCACTATATTCTAATTATAGAATATGTTTTATTATAATAAATCAACCAAAATTTTTTAATAGATAATTTAGTATTGTTAAGTCTACTACCTTAAACATCATATTTAATTAATAATAGTCTAATTATATTAAAATATACTAACCACAAGCATCAAAATCAAGAAGTTATACTTCAAGTACATATCCTCTAAGAAAGTGTACTTTACCTTTTTTTCTTAGACAAGACAGCTGCAAGGATATTACATAGCTAAACTATATTTAGAATTTTATTTAAAAATTTTATGATTTTTAATAGCTTATCATGTAAATTATCTTCTATGTAGAAAGCATATTCTACATAATAATTATTTATATTTATTATATTTATTTATATTTATTTATATAGACATTTTTCAATTAAACCATTCTCTATATTATGTAATTAAAGTAAATTATAAATGAATATTTTATTTATTATATTAATAGTATTAAATTATTATTTAAACAGTTAAAGAATATGGTTTTCCTAAAAGTTGAGTATTTTATTTAAGATTTAATAATAAGATACAATATAAAGTAAAAAAAAATCTGGCCTTTTCAGAAACATTTAAAATTGTGAAATAAAAATGATACGAAATAGAAGAACCAAAATAATGTTTAATACAGTATTTTTTATGATATAATGCTTATAATTACTATTCTAACACTTATAAGATTGAAACAATAAAATATTAAAGAAAGATTTTAAACATAATATATTTGTAGTAAATAATACAAATCTGTATCTAACATGTTTAATAAGGCTAAACAATTTCATTTATTTAATGTCACATACAATTCAATTGCAAATATTTTCTTATAAATACATAATCATATATGCATAAAACAATTATACCAAGTTATAATGAAAATTAATATAATATAAATAATAATAATAATAATAAAACAAAGATGATAGTAAAAAACAACAGTATTGGTATAACATGGTTAAAAGTTACATTATTATACTATATGTCCATTATTATATATTTATATATAAGAACTTGTTGCATAATTTATACAATAGAAACCAGATGAATTGTTTAGTTAGAATTTGCAAGACAACACAATTGGTTAAATTGATTTGTATTACAAAATATTTACCGAATTTAAGAAAAAATTAAACAAACTTGATTAGATCAGTAGATTACCAATGTTCTTGTGCGTACAAAAAATATTTATTTATAAATAAAAAAATTTTAATATATATAAATATGAAATTTATAAATATATATAAATGTTTAAAAACTTATAAACTCTATAATGTAAACATTAATTCTACTTAGCCTACTCTAATTATTGTTAATTATGAGTTTTCCAATAATATTACGCGATAGTGTTTATATGATAAAGCCTTATTGATTGATACTTCTGTGCAAGATTTCGCATACGTAATATATTAAAACAGTGTTGAAGGTTTTCAAAAGCAGAATATGTTAATTTTTATATAAATATCTATTTAAAAAGTAATTTTTTTTATTAAGTTAATATACTATTTTTTAAATTTTTTAGTTTACTATTTTTATAAATAAAAGGTGAAAGATAATATTTGCTACAAGTAATGTACTACTCATTTAATAAAACTTTTAATACTGTGTAGTACTCGATCGGGAAGTGGGCCTTTAATTACATCAGTTTAAATTCAATTGCGCATGTTTTGAAAGACAGTTAATTATACTCCTAGGTTTTTTTTTATATATAATTGGCTCAGTTTATAGCATTGTATAATAAATAATTCAACTTTTGATAAATTATACAAGTAACTTAATAAATCATTTGGTAACTTTTATTATTGATTGTTATCGGTTTTTATATTTTTTATTTTCTAGAGTTAGAAAATGGACGAACTAGATTCAAGCAATGACTGCGCAAACTCAAATTCATAGCGTAATGCATTACTACCTAAAATTTGACAAAAGTAATTCTTGTAAAGAATATTATTAAAAAAATATATATTTCTTTTTAGATAAAAATATGAGCGATACTGTAGCAGAAATTTTTAAATTATTTCAAGATCATTTAAATAATGAACAGGAGATACGAGAGGTGAATGTAATTGTTTTTTAATTATAATTAAAATTTAAGAATAAACAATTAAATCTTGTAGTATAAAGAAAATTTTATTTATGAATTAAATATCGTTTTGGTGTAAATATTGAATTTATATAAATAATGGTAATATATTTTTATAATTTATTTGATTAATAATTTAATACAATTTAATTATATCAATTTTAGGAAATTCGAAACAATGTGAAACAAATTGAAAAAATTACTAGAGACATTGTAATAATTTTACAAAATATTCATAATGAGCATACAGAAGAAAATATAAGTAAGATTTTATTTTATAAGTCACATTTTTATTTACTAATATAAAGTATTTTGTTCTTACTTTTAGTAGTTGCTGATTATTGTACCAAAGCAAGAACATTATTTGAAGATGTACGTAAATATTATGAAAAACTTGCAATTATTGTACCAACAGATCAGTATTATCGTTTTCACTTTGAATGGAAATCAGTCACACAGAGATTATGTTATTTAGCATCTCTCGTTGTATACTTAGAAGTTCGAATACTTGTAACCAAGGAAATTGCAGCAGATATTTTAGGAAGTAAATTTAAAATTAATTAATATTATTTGAACAAAAGTTTTATATGAGTTATTTAATATATTATATTTTAGTAAAACAGAAAAGCGAAGATGGATTTCACTTGGATTTAGAAGACTTTTTAATGGGTTTATTACAACTTTCTACTGAATTAGTAAGTAGAAAATAAGTAAATTCTGTTACCTAAAAAACTATCAATAATATTAATTAATTTTAGAGTCGTTATGCTATCAATAGTGTTACCAATGGAAATTATCATCAACCAATGGAAATTGCACATTTTGTTAATGAATTAAATGCAGGATTTCGACTTTTAAATTTGAAAAATGATGCATTAAGAAAACGTTTTGATAGCTTAAAATATAATGTTAAAAAAATTGAGGAAGTAGTTTATGATCTTAGTATACGTGGTCTTAAACCAAATACTAATATAACGCAAGAATCGACTGTAGTACAAGGTAACAAAATATAAAGAAAAGTAAATTTTATGCATCAATTATTAAAGTCTATGAATTATTTTAATTTGTATTGAAATATTTCTTTTTATAAGACCTTTATAAGTTAATAAAAAAATTTAATAATTATATATAATTAATTAACATCTATAGATTCTACAGATTTAAAAAGTTAGATGTAAAAATTTAAATATAAAATTTTATATATTTGTATATTATTGTAAAATTTAAAAATTTTGAATTTCACTTTATATTTTTTAAGTTCTAATATTTTATACAATTACGAGTAATAAATGACTATATTACCTGGTTTCAACATGTTTTTTTATATAGGGTATAATAATTTTCATATTTTCATCAAATTTAAAAGTAAAATTATTATTATAATTTATTATTTTCAACAGTAGATTCTAGTAATATGAAAAAGATCCTGAATTGTATGTATTACATTAACTACTGAATATTTTTATCTTAATAATTAAAAAGATTACATTTTTTTTATGTAAAAAATTTATATTTTTACAAGATTATTGTTATACTTAAAATTATTTAAAAGTATTGTTAAGTATTTATAAGTGCTTATAATACTTATAATAATATATTCTAGAAGTTTGTAATTTCATTTAAATATAAGATAATATTTAACATTACCTAATTGAAAAATTTACCAATATATTATTTTGTAATCATAAACATTTAATAAAATTTCATACTGCTTTCTTTAATTACATATTCAAATTTACAACTTATAATATTAAGACAGCATATTAATTATTCTATTATTAAATTAAATAGTGATAACTGAATCTTTGCTAAAATTGTTTGAACATATTATTGTTTTAGTTACGTAATTTATCAATATTTCAAACAAATACATTGACATTACCTTAAACAATGCTGGTATTAGTTAAATGTTAAAATTAGCAATAGCAGCAATAAAAATATAATAATTTATAAATCCATATTTAATTAATATTTTTTGTGTTTAGCATTATTCTTATAGTTTATATTTATTAATTTTTCATTTGATAAGCTGCTAAATTTCTTATTATTATCGTAAAATATAATTTAATTAAATTATGATTATAGTTTAATTTTCTAAAATTAAAAAAATGACAAATATATACTAAAAAGTAATAATACAATATATGTTTCTAAAAATATTTATGTACTATAATAAGCTATATTTATTACCTTTTCACTTCTAATGTTATTAGTTTATTTTCTATATGCAAGTCAATAACAAAGTAAATATGATACTGTTGACACATGTAAGAGAACGAGAGTAAAATTTTGGAAAAAATTACCAGATATGAAAATCAAGAAATAAATAAATATATATATATATATATACACATCTTTAAATCTATATTAACTATATCTAGCATTTATAACCATTTTATGTAGCTATGTCCGATAATTGGTTAACTCAAATTCAAATTGCGTTATATAAGTAGTAGGATATTTACATCGGCTAATGTATAGCTTTATTAGTGTTTTATAAATATTTATATTTTACTAATTGGTAAAATATATTTTATTGAATTGTTCAATGATTTCATGAGAAACAGTATAAAATTACTTAAGAATGTATTTTAAGTTTTGGTACAATAATACATAAGAATCTATTGAGTTTTTTACGCTGAATGTTCTTTTCTTTTTGAAAATCGGTCACCGATTTTCCGAAAAAAATATAAACTCACATATTTAAATATCGTAATTGTTAAAATGTCGGATATTGTTAAAATTCATGCAGAAAAATTTCAATATTTTCCATATAGTTATCTAGTGGTTTATGTACACCATCCATTACATTATTAGATACAGATAATTCATAATAAATTAGGCGGACGAAAAGAATTACTTACTACAAAATTAATATAATTGCTATTAAAACTGGTAGTACAGATTTAGTCCCTATTTATTTCAATGGAAGGGGATAATTTGTGAAATCATTTTACTGTCATGCAGAAAATGTTGAGATTATACATTGCAATCAATTGGATAAATATTGAGAGTTTTAACTAGTGATACTTATGCTATGAATTTTAGTACATTGTGAAGTAAAGTTTTCTGTGTTTGGGATATTGAATTTGCATTATCTATTTTTTAAACTACTATGAAGATTCTGTTATATACGAGGATACACATTTTTACTCTAAATTTATCATGTTTAAACTCATTACTTATATTTGTTTATTTAACATATGTAAGAAATGTAGAAAGAATTTATCTGTTTATTTCACAAGAAAAGAAACTACATAAATTCTCTTTTTATAATAAATTAATGATTATTCATTAACATAAAACTTTTAAATATCCACATACGAATGTTGTCAAAATATAAAATAATATAAAAAAAATAAATACCAAATGACAGAAATGTGCTTCTTTACCATTAACTGTAGAGCCTGGGCTCTAGTCCAAATTTCAATTGAAATGTCTATGTACTATACCAGTCTATGTAGAACAAAGATATTTAATGCCAAAACATGGATTACTACATACTACAATATTAGATCAAACTTTAAATTAATTAAATTCTATTTTTAATAAATTAAGTAAAATGATTTTAAATAATTTTGGTATTAGAATTGTGAAGAATATTACAATTACAGATTCTATTGCAATTGTATTTTAAATAAATGTTTGTATTTACAAAATAAATTTTTATATTATATTTATGTAATTTTAAATTGAATAAAGTTAATTTGTTTTAAAATCAACAATTTCTGTTAACTTTGATAGTGTATAGTAATAATTTAATAATTCTGAAGATATTAATTCATTACATATTTTGTAAAAATTGTAACTATAAAAATATTACAAATAATTTATAAATTATTATTAGGTTGACACAAGATTCTGCGTGAATACTTAAAGATACATTCATAATCATAAAAATAAAACTGTTATTACTCAAAACCTTTATCATAAGTTTTTTAACTGTATTTATATTAGAAATTGTTATAAAAAATGAATTTTGTAAATGTTAAATTACATATAATAAGCTGAATGGAATTTTCTTTTAAAAAGTTTTAAAAACTAAATATATATAATATGAAATTAATATTTTTAACCTTTTTAATGTCAATTTTAATAACTAATTTATATTACAAATATACTTGTATTTTTCATATACAATTAAAAGTATATAATTTTTTTTAAATTAGAATTATAAATTTATTATTAGTATTAATAAATTATTGCTACTATTATATTTGCACAAATTTTAATTAGTATCCATTGCTAATCCATTTTTCAATCGTCGGTAAACAAAAATGGCCAAAGAATTTTCTACAAATTTCCGTGAAATTATTTTTTACTACTTATCATACACTAATTATTAATACTAACTTACAGAAATTGTGTATAGAAACAGTATTTAACCAAATACCGTTTGATAAAATTATGTTAAATATCAGTTCCTGTACACAAATTTGATGTTATAAGTTCATAGAAATAAAATAATCAAAAAATACTACTTTAACCATTTTTACTATTCATGATTTAATATAAAAATTTCAAAATTTATAATTTCTACAAGTTAGTAATATTGCTAAATTTATGAATTTAATTTGAAGAATAGCTGTTTTAAATTTATATTCACAAATGAACTTTATAAGTAAGTGTTTTGTAATATAAAACATAATGTAACATAGTCATTAAACTATAAAATAAATTTTCTATTACTTTCGATATTTGATCAAACTATGATCATTGTTGAATCATGATCAAAAAATGAATATTACAATACTAATTATGTTACTTTTGCGACACATTCTCAAATAGTTGCTGGTTTGATATATAGAATAAAATACTAAATGTTCTTGAAGATATAAATTTTAAAAATCCAGAAAAAAGAAATTTGGTTTCTTCAATGCTTTTTTGGCAAAATAATATAATCAATTTGAAAACATTTAAATATTATAATCAGTTTAATTATTAATTTCATTAATTTAAAAAATTATATGACTAATTACAAATTTTATTAGCAAAAATATTCATAATATATATATATATATATATATATATATATATATATTTAAAAAGTACATTAAGTTTCAAATTTTATTATAAATTAATCCAATAAAGGCTTACAATAATATGATTGTTATAATTGTAAACAATATAAATTGTTAATGCATTTTATGATATAATCAGGTACATGGAATTTGTTTAACCTTCGAGTGATAACTATTATTAAACATTCACATTTTTTCTTTTCACAACAAACCTTAATAGTAAACAAGGATCACTAAATGAAAGCGTACCCAATTATGGGTTGGTTATTTGTGACCTCAAAATATTTTTCTTTTATTAGTAATAGTAAACTTATAATGTTTTATATTTTTTATTTTTATCGATATTTTAAAAATATACAATTTTCATATATTTCTCAATTGAAATTAAATTACTGATTTATAAATATATTTATGAATTTTGCAGATTCAATCTCTTTTTATATTCAAATGTTAATGTAATTAATTCTATTATATAAAGTGTTTTCTATAAAAATAATACGTCACTAACATTTATTATATGGTTCTTACATCCATATATCTCAGATTATATACAAAATATCTTTTGAGAGTAAAACTCGGATTTTTCTCGTGTATACCTCAAATGTGATTTACCTTCTTTCTATGCGTTGCACTATTTTCGAAAACACTGAGGCTTTATTTAATCGTATAGATCAGATTTGTTCTCATACACAGAGAATTAGTGATAAAAAGGAAAGAATAACATATAGTTGAACGTGGTGAATATCCCAATATTCCAATACCTTACTCTGATAGATAACACTATTATGTAAACGTGAATACAAGTCTATATATTTCATTATAATTTATAATGATAATTATAAAATTATGAAATATTAAAATTAATATTGTTTATTAATATACGTAAATTTGAATTAAATTTAGTTTTCTATTATTATTATATAAATTCAGTTTTTTGAATGAAATATAAACATTCAATTAAAAATAATTGAAGATGTTTATATATGTTATATAAATTCAATGTTATAGTATTTATTGTAATTTAACTATTTAAAAATATGTATTTATAAAAAGTACATTAAGTGACTGTATTTCATTGCAATTTAAAATTAGAGTATAAATTTTAAAAAATAATTTCTTAAGAATTTCTCTAAGAAAGTGATAAAATTTATAAAAAACATAAAATAATACTTAAATAAAAATAATTGATAATAATGAACTTAATAATCAATGCATAATATTTTAACTAAATAACATCTTAATATAATATTAGAATAATTTTAGAATAAAAAGAACTCGTAAGAGTATTCATTAATTATGTTACTAATAATTAAATATAATGGTTTGTTCCTGTAAGACATCACATTGGAAAAGTCCTAAAGATCATTTAAATGGTCTCTAAATCAGGAACGAAAACAGAAAAAAATGTATATATTCTAAGAAAGAAAATTATGAAACGTTTAATAACCAAATTATATATTATAAAATGATATATATCTTGTTAAAAAATATTAAAACTACAAAATACGATTTCGAAAAAATAAAACTGATGACAAACATATACAAATAGTACTCTTACAAATATTTAAATTACATATCAAAAATGATATCTAGAACAATATAATTTGTGAAAAAATTAATTTTGATACAGAACTTATTACAATTTTATTTTGTCATTTATGTTTATGTATGACCTATTTAAGGTCATTATAATTATCATCTGAAGGTTGCAGAATAATTTTTGTCCAGACAAATTTTTATTATAATCAAACTCTGAATACTTGCTTATCATTCATTGTACAAATATTTTATGCATATTCCTTTTGGTTTTCAATTATAAATACTGCAAATATTCGTTTTTTGTAATAACGCTTCGACGGTATTAAACTATATTGTTTACAACGAATATTAAATAATTGATTCATTATCATTTGTTATTCTTTTCCGAATTAATTTTTTTATTATTACTAATAATCAAATTAATAATTAATGATTATAAAGCAGTTTTGGACTTTTAAAAAATAAGAATTTTTTAATATTACTGATTTTACTAATACACATTTACCTTCAAAAAATAACAATTAACATTATAGAAACATTAACACTACTAAGATATGAAATTCACAAATGGATTAATGTAGATATGATTTTATGTTGAATCAATCCATTCAATACAGGATTAAAATACTAAATTTTTAATTTAAATCTTTAAAATTAAATTAATAAAATGTTTACATAATTAAAAATAACTTCCATATAGCATTCAAAATAGTAATAATTTTAATGTATAACAATAAAATATAACCCTGGCTGTATTTATAAAATTAAGAATGTATGGTAGTCAATGAGATATCAATGAGAAAGCCAATATAAAATAAAGAGATAAGCATGTTATAAATAAAAAAAATTGTAATTTCTCTTACTTTGTATTAGTTACTTATATTATTTATTTTATAAAGAAAGCATGCTTATTTTTTGGTACAACTTTTAATTTTATTAAATAATCAATGAAATGAATACAAGCGCTTGTCGAAATAGTTGTTGAAATTCTAAATTGGTCAAATAAAATATATTTATAATTACCAGACTCAGTCTTTATAGTTGGAGGGATTTTTTTATGCATCTGAACTAGTTTTTGCTTTATCATATATTGATGCATATACAAGGAAAATGATATATAATTTAAATAAACTAACTTGTAATTTCTTTCTTTACTTTATACAAACTTTTGCATACCATGAATTTTTTTTGCTGAACATTCAACTAAATTAACAGATTTTCATACATGGTTTTTTTTTGTTTAAAATAAAAACTAGTGATAATATTACAAAAAGCTTCTTTTCTGATATTTTTCTTTGCAGATCTTGAAACATAATTTAAAATATAAAAAACACTGTGCTAGTATCTTTAAACCGTTGTAAGAATTGTTTTTATATTCATTTATGAAATTTATAATATATTTTATAAGCTATGATCAAATCTGCAAAGACCATTCACATTTAATAATGTTTAAGAAAGTATTTACAAAATCATCAATGAAACACGAGTACAACTTGTTCGCGCAATAATGTACATCATAAACAAGCAGGTTTCTTGACAAAATAACTAAAAATTCGACAAGTTCTTAAATTCATAATAAATTCATTCTATAAAACTAGGATAAAATTTTTTACTCCTAAAATCAATTCGAATTATTGATAAATTTTCTTATACATTGCTGTGCGCCTACCACAACATTAATTACATTTATTATATTATCTAAATGTAAGAGATATAGTAAGCGTAATTATCTTTATATATACAATTTTTCTTTATTCTTTTCCTTCCATATAATTGAAGGTTTTTATAACATTCATAACATTTTTTAGTTTACACCATTAATTTTGTAACTGATATCAGATTTCCTTTTAAATAAAACTTGTATTGTTAAAACACATGAAAATAAAATTAATGTATTATTTTTCTAACTCTGCAAGTTAAATCATACTCAAATTTATACAATGTACACTTTTTCATCCATTCAAAATAATTTATTTTAGATAAATATTTCTAAAAAACATTGCTTTTTCAAATGTATATATATACATTTAAGTGTGCAAAATTTTATCATAATTAGCAATATAACTTATTTTGACTAAATAATAAATCAAATAAAAGATCTTATGAAATTTTATATTATCTTTTACATAAAAAAGTTGTTTGAAAAATGCAACACATTGATAAGAATGTAATTATACAATTTGTTTTGAACTATATTAATCATTAAACTTTTTCTTGGTATTTTAAAATGATTATTTGTTATTATTTTATTAAAGCATCAATGCACATAAATAATGTGAATTATGATTTTAATTTTATTATTCATAAAATTAATGAAAATATTTTTAGTATCAAATTTCTTAAAAGCTGTACAAAGAAATTTGAAAGAAAATGGAAGCAAATAAAAAAAGAGACTGCATCAGCCTTCGTATAATTTGAATTAGGAATGCAAAGCTCTTTTATTAATGTTTAATTTAATCTTCATATTTACGCACGTACATATATTTACTTTTTCAGAGCTAACGTACTGAAATAGTAAGAGAATATAATTGTTACGTAGAAGTACGTTTGTCTTCATATTATTAATCGATAGACAAATATAACAAATAAGTTCGAAACATTAAAATTTTATGTAATTGTCGCTTCACATACTTTTTTATTGAATCTTAAAAATGATTGTTATATGAAGAATTCATAAAAATATTTTCACGAACTAATTTTATTTAAGTGAACATTCTTTTACAAATTTATTGATTTAGTGTTATAAAGTATTTTTTTTATTAATCATTAAATATAATAATATAAAACGAGCTCATCTTGAAAACAATAATATTTATTTATACGCCTTTATGGCTTCACAGCTGTAATAACCATTAATTCAATAAATGAAGAACGCAAATATTTTTAAATACAATGTTAAGATACTAAATTATATATTGATTTTTAAATTATCATTAATAAGATTAAAAATACAATAAATTAAGTTTACATTTATCGAATTAATACAAACATTGTATTTAAAAGCTTATGTTAGATTTCATTCTTTAAAATGGAGGTAGCATATTTCTTCTACGTAACATATGTCATCAACAATTGTAAGTTACTAAATAAAAATAACAATGAAAAAGTTAAGATTTGTACATTGAATTATAAAATTTGTTGTAAATTTGAATACTGTTTAAATCAGTAAGGGTCATATGATTTTTCTAATTGCAAGTGTTCTGTCATTACTTCAAAGTAGTTGTCATGAAATAGTTGGACAACACGTCCCTGTGAATGTGCTTAACCATACCACAATTAATGTCAAAACAAGTAGTCTATTTTCAATGCCAAAATCAGACGTACATTGGCAAGGTAAGGTTAGCAAAGCCCCCAGTGACGTAATGGTAGTAACAGGGGTGCTGACAGCAGGCATCATGTCACTTCCATTGCCAATGAGTTTGTTTTACTTCCTTGAACCAACTGTTGCTGTTGTGTTTTACCATCACATGGTGTACTTTGAACTGTGTCCACTTCCATCTCCAATTTTTCACTGAAAATTTATTATCGAAAATTATTAGAAATTTTTTTTTAATTACAATTAAATTATAATTATGAACTTAAATTTTATTTAATTTACATCAGGTATTAAAAAAGCTATTTAAGGTAATAAATAAAATATTTAAACAAATCTAAACTGTCTTAGAATGATTTCATCAAGTTAAATAGAATACTAAATAAATGAAAGATATAATTAATACACAATTATGACTTAATACATTTAATACTTAAAGATTTTAAATATTAATTATTCATATAAACATATTATTAAGGAATATAATTTAAAATATTACTTCTTTTCCCATAAAAATTTTTTTTAATAAATAAATAATATATAGTTTCCTTTCCTCTCTTTCTCTCTCATTATATTTATTAAATATTACTTTAAATTTCATCTGTAAATTAATTTTTATTAGCAATATTTGATACTCTAATATATATTGCTAGAATATATAAACATAATATCTAATATTTTATATAATGTAAAGTATAATGCTTTTATAATAAAAATTTGAGATATTTGATATTAAGGCATTTTACAATAGATAACAAATTTATAAAAAAAAATTATAATTAATATATAATTAAAGCAAAAGTTCAATAATTTCATAAACAATTTTATTTAAATATTAAATTTCGTGTTATTGAAATTAATTTTCCATACATAATTTCTTGATTTAAATTTTTAAAATGTTTTAAAACATATATATATATATATATACAATTTTTATATATAATATTTCATGTTCATATATGTAAATTTTTATGATAAAAATATAAAAGATAACTATTTTAATTACATGATTGCATTATAGCAACAATATAAATTAATAATTTATTATCCCAAAATTTATTCTTTCATAAATTAAAATATTTATGTAATTAAGAATTTTATATTCTTCTCAAAGTCTAAATTAAACTAAAAATTTGATTAAGTTTGATAAAATATTTTTTTAATTGTACTGAAATAAACTGTATATTTATATATTTAATGGTAATGTGTATGTCTATAAATAAGTATAAAAGGAAATTTTGTACATTAAAATTAGAAGTTTTTTGAAAATTTTGAATCCATAAAGTAAAAATTTATTAATAATTCTATTTTAATACATGAAATTTGTTATAGTTTTTAATTCATTTCTTAATAAAAATAGTATTGAATCTAATTGTTAAGTTTTATTTCATCAGTTCATTAATAAAGAGTAAAATTTTTATTTTACCTATTACTATTAAGCGTAATTTCTCCAGATGTTGGAATTTGCTGAGTTTGATTATGTATTTGCTGTTGATGTCTGGAAAGATTGGCAAGTTTATTAAAGCCTGGCAGCAAATTAGAAGTTGTATGCTTTTGTGGTAAAAGTATTGTTGATTGATTGTTTATAATGTGTGTACTGTTTGATAAACTCTTTGAATTATGCATATGAGTAACAGGACCATTTTGGTGACCATTACCAAAGTTTGTAATTGTACCACCACTTCCACTTATTCCTGTTGTACCAAATACTCTGATTCCTCCAGTACAACTTCTGTTATTAGTTGGACTAGTCAGAGACTTAGATAATATAGAAGTAGCATTGCTATTGTTTTGCAATTGTCTGTATTTAGCTTGATGATTTAATTGAGCTTCAATATTAACATTTATACGTTGTGTAGACATTGATGTATTAGAGGCTGTTGATTGGATGCTTGTACACAATATTGGCGAAGCAGTAGAATAATTAGACTTATTTACACTATTAGCACTACCACTGCACTGTGATCGGATTTGTGGCGCGAATAAATTTCCAACTTCTGGTAAAACTAAGAAATGCGAGCATCCTAATTCGTCTGTCCGCCAATCACTATTTTCTGATGAACAGGCACTACTACTGGCTGCAAGTGCCAAATCAAAGTCTGATAATGTGTCGATAGAAAAGTAATCTGATATATTGAATTCAGATGTGAAAGGTGGATTATCATCCAAGCGATCTGATTCTATATCAACGCAAATGGATGTTGCCTCTGGTGGGAATGGATATGAAAGAGGTTCTGTTATAGAATGAGCTAATTCTACTTCAGAATCACTCTCGCTACTCTCTTCACTTGGACTATGCTCTGAAGCTGGTGGTGTTTTTGGATGAAAATGTAACCTTAAAAAATAATGTAATAAATTGTATGTAATTAATGTTTTGTATTATAACATGAATTCAAAAGAATATTGTACCATTCTTTCATAACTGTAGTTGTTGCAGTAGCTGTGGGATCTGTTTGAACTGTTGTATTGCATTTAGGCTCATGTATAGTAAAATCTAACGATGACCATATATCATCCATATCACTTGAGTATCGATCAAGTATAATTCTGATACATAAAAATGTCTCGAATAATTTTGATTAAAAATAAATACGTTTGTATAAATTACAATAATCTACATACCTGCCACCACGACCCATTCTACGTCGTGCTAGACCAATACAGCGTGGTGTAGGCTTATTGATGCTAGTAAGAGCAAATCTGTATTTTTTATCAGCCAAGCCTCCTTCGTCTCTATCACACCAAGGCCAATTTCCAAACCCACCTGATACAGGCTGTATATATAAAATTAATATTTCATGCATTGTCAATTAAAAATCTTAAGCTTTGTAAAAAAATTAAATATTTAGTTTGAAGACAATTTCTGAAATAAAAATATAGATTCTTACAGGCAAATAACTATTGTTTCTATTTCGACGAAAGGTGAATTGACCCTCATCAACTGTGTCTTCATCTTCATGATCTGAGGGAAGAGATGGCTGTGAATGTGACGGAAGAGGAATATCCTCGTCTGAACTACCAAGGGGATCCAGCCCACTTTCAAGAACAACACGATTGCCTCGATTGCCACTAGTTCCAGTACTGCGCACACCGTCATCTAAACCTCCGCTTCTGACATCTGCTTTATGCTTCCTTTTCTTGTATTGTCTTTTCTCCTTCCTTGGTACATCATCCTGATTGCATGAAAATGTTTTTAAAAATATCTTTTCCATCTAGTATACATAGTTTTCACTGGCTGACAAAAAGCTTACTTTTCCACAAACTTTATTTGCCCAATTTTGATGGGCTCCAAATTGATTTGTGAAGATTGGAGCAAATGCAGGTCGCGATGTTTTTAAAGTGGATACTTCTGCCAAAATTTGACCATTGAAGTCTTGCGCTTGATACCTAATATTAGCAATAAAATATTAAACGTTTCAAATTTTAATATTTGAAATAGAAACATTGGTTATACAAATATCTGAAGTGAATCATTATCTAATTAACGAACGACTTTTATTAATACTATTTCTATGATATATAATCATCAATATATCTAACCTTTTTTCATAAACTTCAATAGTTAGATGTAAATGCTCTCGTTTCGTTTTTTCTCTTCTTTTTACCATTTCTAATAATGTAACAGCTCTACAGAGATCTCTACGCAATTTAAGCATTTTTTCATAACTTGTTTCATCATTTTTACGATTTTTGCGTGTTTGCATTTTTTCTGTTCGCCTTCTAAATGCTAGATATGGATTATTAGCAGCAGATCCAAGACGATGTTCAGTTTTCACTGTTAAAAGAAGTGGATGTTGCTAAAAATAAAAATATTTCACAAATATTATAAGTTCACATAAAACTTTAAGATTACCAGGTAAATTTTTTTAGAAATATTTACTTATTTAATATATTATTTTATGTACAAATTGAGAAAACTTACCGTTTTAAGACGTTTATTTAACCAATAGTCAAAAACTGCAATAATTAAATCATCATCTTCTTTTAAAAGTGCTTTAGCTTCATTTAATGTGACAACTGTTTGTCCAGAACTTTTTTCAAGTCGGTCCATCATCTCTTCAAACTGAAGTGGTGTTAAATCCATTTTACGACTTTGTGTTCCAACCCATTTTTCATCTTCAGAATCCATATCATAATCTGGAATATCTTGCTCCATAGCAAAGGCTATAATTAGATATAATTGATTATTTCTTATATAGAACAATAATAAAATATTAAATATAAAAAATTAAAAGTTAAATATACTTTCAGATATAAACAACTATTGCTATAAAATTTGCTTACTATAAAATATATAAACAAATCTTACGTTGCATATGAATAAGTTGACGTGGCAACTTATAATCTGCTGGATAAATTTTGTCATAAGCTTCGACATCTGTTAAATTAGTTACTTCCGGAGTTGGAATTATTAATCCTGTACAAATTGCCCTTTGAAGATGATGTTCCTTTTCAGACAAATAATTTTGTTAAAATTATTTATTATACAAAAATAATTATATATTTTATTAAAATATTTTATAACCTAATAAAATGTGAGATATATTTATATATAATAAAATCATCAAGAAATAATCATATCAATTACAATTATCATGATATAGAAATTAAAAGAATATATTAAATTGAGGAGAGTTAATTTACCTTTAAAAATTAGTATATGGTAAGTTATTTTTTAATTTGTATTTTTATTTTATTTGTAAAATATATTTTTATTTTATTAAAATTTGATATTTATATTAACAAATAGATTCAAATTAGCTCGATCACATATTGCTAATATAATTAAAGAAATATGAACCAATTCTAAAATATGGAATACAAATAAAAGTAAAAAGGTTCGAGAGATCTTTAAGCTATAGATATAGTGCCATCTGGTGAATGTTTATAGGAGATCGGTATTTTCGAGCTGACTAAGATGGCCGATGCAAGAAACATGCTTTTCGTATTTTGCTTAGCAAAACTTACACATTCCTCTTCTTTCTGCATACCACTAGGCATTTGTGGCACAGCTCGATTAATGGCCGAATAATCCGGTAGATCTGGTAATTCCTCGGCCATGAATATGGGCATGGGCTTAGAAGCGTCGAGGGCACGCGCCCTAAATGAAAGTTTGCTCATGGCGGGCGGTATGCGTGTTGATGGTGAAAAATAGATTAAATGTCTCGATTCTTCTAAATTGGGCTTATGTTCTTCTCCAGATTTGGATTGCTTCAGAAATAGGGTTCTTGAACTTTAAGACTTACTTGATACAGGCGAGGGTCTTTATTTATGCTGCTCTGTTATCTATGATGTGCAATTCCAAGCTCTGCTGGACGAGGTTGGGCTGCTGGCTAAGCCAGGCGGCCGAATCACTCGCCGCGGGTCGGCTCAGGGTCTCATCCTTATCCGGCCATAGCGCTTAAACACAATCACAGATTCACCCTGCCGTCGTCGCACTCTTTCAATTCACTTTGAAAATGTGTTTGTGAAACACGGCCCTTGTGCAAAGCCATCATGGCCGACGCACCAGTCATTTACACATTCGGCCATGTCCCATGGTCCCCTGAGTAATCCGACATGAACTTAATATACTAACACAAACATTAATACTTCTACACGTTGATACAACAATTTTAGAAAGATGTCGCACCCACGTCGTTGTTTAATTCTCTTACCTCACCACTAACTTTAATGAATCTCAATTCAACGGTTGCAAATGACAGACAGATACTTTTTTGTGGCATGCGCATAAAAGATCAAAAGTTTATTGGTTTTTAAAAATGCGCGCAATATAAATAGTAAACTGTACACATATAACTAAATAAAACAGCATCTCTATAAACATATTCACCATAAAATAAATAGTAATAACTTAACAATAATGCATGATTTCTATACATTTATGTTTCTTAGCATAGTAAACCCTTTAAATAAATAATAACAGAGTTTTACATTCTAGAATACGTAGAGTTAAGATTATTAATATTATTATAATTACTTACTAGTTAAAAACTGATCAAAATAATTTTCTTATAGTTTTCTTCACGTTATAACGAATACTATAAACAGTTTTCAAAAAAATTTTTAATTATTATTTATTATGTTTGTTATTTGTTTACATATCTATTGATTTAAATATTTTCAATTGTCCTTTAATTCTTACAATATAAAAAATTAAGTAATTAAAATTTGAAATATTGTATATTTTATAATTTTATTCCTTTATATTAGTATACATTACGTAATAAATTTACATTTGTTATAAATTCATGTAAATTTATGCTTTATATTTTTTAAGCAATAAGTAATGTTATTAATTGAATTTGAAATAGATTAATATAATATATTTTTAATATTTTTAAAAAAATCGTTTTTGTTATCATCTGAACATTACAAACAATTGTCTTAGTAAAGATTAAATCTAAAAAATTGAAAAATATCTGTAAATAAAGGTGATGGATTATCTTCTTTATGAATGACCATACCGACTGCCTGGGATCAGACTTAAAACCTCCAGGTGATATTGGTGGAGGTGTTGTTGGCAAGTGAAGGGGGCAATGTAATTATTCAATTCTACAAACAGTATATTTTGGTCTTTCCTTTATTAAATACAATAATATAATAATAGTTAATGGTTATAGAAGTGTATGAATCGAGAGTGTGAGTGATTTATGTATTAAGTTTCTTCAATTATTTTACGTGTTGACGGGAGTGTGTACTCTCAGTAGTGTGAAGCGTGAATCCTTCTTTGCGTGAGAAGTGTCGCTGCTATAGCCGGCGCTTACTAAAGGAGCGTATAAGTCACTGCTGCTTTAGCCATCGGTGTGATCCGTTGACGTATGTGTAGTTGTAGTTTCATTAATTTCACTCTTAATTTATGTGTGTAGTAGCGCTTCTTGAATATAAGTTTAACGGATTCTGATAGTTGTGGCATCACAATTGGTTTGTTAGATTGCTTGTTACTTGAAGATTAACTTGTATAGCTACAGTGAGTGATGATTGCAGTTTGTATGTTTGAAGAAAGAAAAGTTAGTCCGTCGTCTAGGCAGCGTAATTTATAATTAGCAAAGAGCTGCGCATCAAGTGTTGCTCAAATATTTTCTTAGAAGCGGTGCGACACCAGCAATGTACCGGTGCCTGTTGCTATGCCGAATTATAATCGTATATTCGAGTTTTCAGCGCAGGAAATTTCTCGAATTCGCTACATTGTTTTGTTTTTAACATAAATGTCCGGGAGCTTGCATGGAGAACCAGGGATCCAATTTTTATTTTATTTCTTGGATGATGCCACTTTGATGTTGAAAGTTGTTGTTGTAGATAATGTTTAGTCCATTGTGACTAAAATTGTTGTACTCGCTGTTGTGTGAATTACCATTTGGATAATCTTGAAATGTTCAGATCAATTAGTGATGGTTCTGGTATAGTAGTAAGAGGGCTCCCGATTACAAGTCTGGTAAGTGCTGGATGGTTTTTGGAGTCATCGCACATTGATTCTAATGGCCTTGTGTTGAGGATTGCGTCAGTTTGGACAAGTAGTGTGGAGATTTCGTCAAATGTCAATTATCCAATGGTGTTCCTTATGTAAACTTGGCGGAGTTTACCACTACTTCCTTTTTTTGTCTTATGTGAATGGATTGAATTCCCATTGAGTAGTCGATTAAGATGGCCTTAGTTGTCTGTTTCTGTTCTTGGGAACCTTGTGTATAGTTGTAGGATGCTTCTGAAAATTGTCGGAATGCCACGATAAGTCCGTTTCTCCCCCTTTCTTCTCTCTGGCTAGAGTTTTATGATTAATTAACTGGCATAGTCAACACCTGTGTTTGATAACGGTTGATGGGTTACTCAAAACAGCGGTAATTGGTCCGTTAAATGTTGAGCATGGATTCCCTTTTTGTCATGCACATGTAATGTATAATAGAGTGTGAGATTATATTGAAGTTCGTCCGCCAAGATCCAATTACAGCTGTCGGTTGTATGCCAGGTTTAGTTGAGTATGCCTTTTAATGGGATTGTTTACATATTGATGTAGCAGAATTAACATGTATCTTCAGTCGCATGCCAAATAAATTCATAGTTCTTCGTAGACTTCTGCAATTCCTTGGGAGAGGGTTCTCGAATGATTGATGATAAATGATGAATACCGACAATGTTAATATTGTTTCTTCCTCTAAATCGAAAATCGGTTCGTATGTTTAGTTTAAGTAAATATTCCTTTGATAATCTTTTCTAACAATATCTATCTTATAGATTTATATATCTAACAATATGAACTATCTTTTCTAACAATTCTGTTGTATTATGGTGTCTCTAAATAATTAATTTGACTTTTATTGAGATTTTAATCTAGAATAATCATACGCATATCTGGAATAAGGGCATAAGAGGGTAAGAATATTCACTTAATAAATAAACTAGTCACATCTCGCACAAGAATAAATCGGGCACACTTACGCTCTCTTGAACTAACACTCGACTTCGTACAGGCCCGCTAGCAAAAATAGGGCACACTTACGCTCTCTCAAACTAACCCTCGACATCGTACAGCCCCGCTAATAGAAACAGGATACACTTACGCTCTCTCAAACTAACACTTCGATATCGTACAGGCCTTCTACAGCTGACACAAGTGTGACTGTGATTTACGCACGTTGTCAAGGAAGGACAACAACAGATCGACTAATAGACTATAACTAGAGATTATAAAATCCTTCAAGAGCTCAAAATCTTACCATTAACCACTCTTACCTGTGACTAGATTCTTCTACTGTCCCCATAAATAATTAAAGACACAATTGATTGCTTAATATATTCCATTAAACATCTTACACCATATCAAGTATAGTTATTCATATATCAAGCATACTTGATTCAACTAGCATCTTCTCATGCTACCTCACAAGTATGATTGACTGACTACATCAGCTGATTTTTACAACATCAGCATTACCTCAACTTCAAGATGCTCAGTCATATCCATAGAAAGCTACAATTATCAGAAATATAAGAAGACACCCTCATTACTTCAATAGAATTATCTCTCTCTACACAACAGTGCAATATTATTATAATCATTTACAAATAATAAACCTTGTTTTACTAAATACATAATATTTTTCAGCCTTGTCAATTATTATTTCCTTTGAAGTTATCCTGCCGAGAGACTAATCCACTGAACTATTGAATTGGTAGTTCGAGCCATAAAGTAAACCTTTAAAATCGAACATAAATTCTATTGTTATCCTGTTAAATCTTAATAACACAACAAAAAAGACTGCATATGCATTGTCATTGTCATTTACTACTTTTCTGTTGTGTTTATAAAAAAAAAGTTTGAAATTATCGATTGCGTTATTTGAAATTGAATATATCCTTTATAAGATTTTATATTTCATTTTCCTTTCAGTAAATGTAACCATCAGATTTCGTTCTAAAACATTATATATAAAGTTTTATTATTTAAGATGTATTTTTATAAATGTATTTTGTTGCTGCAATTATCAAGTGATATGAATTCAAGTACATAATTATTGATTATTATTTTTCTTAATTATAAGTTAATGCTCCTTTTGCAATACAAATTAATATTTTTAATTAATAATAAAATAATAAAAAATAATAATAAAAAAGTGATGAATTTATAGTTTTCTATGTATTCTGAGTGACTCATCATCATTTTGCATTACTTATGTTATGACTCTTATTTGTAAAATATTTTACTGTAATACATTAAATTTATAAAATATTTATATACTCATTTATAGCAATCAAATAATTATTTAATTTAAATTCTGTTTTTTCACATTTGAATATTAATAATTTTAAAATATGAATAAGAAATAATTACTCATTACTCATAAAATTAATGTATTTTATTCTTTACCTCCTCACTGTACTTTAATTATTATATTTAGTTGAACAAATTATAGAAATCTCCACATTTTCAAAAACCAATATTTTCGTCTTCTATTGCGTAGGACCCATATTGATATGTGATCTATGCTCAGTGATTTATTGCCCGTTTACTATTCATAAATAATTTTAATTAATTAATTCAATTTTTAATTGCCGCTGAGTATTATTGTTACTTTTACTTAAGGCATCAAGCGATGAAAAATTTTTACCAAAAAATCTAGAAAAATGTTGTATTATCTAAAGATATATAAATATATATATATATATATTATTTTAAATTTGAAAAAAATTATATGCATAAAATTTTAAATATTTTTATACTTCCATATAATTTTCCAAATAAAATATCTACAAAAAATTATTTATTCAAATTTAATTACTTATTTTAATCTATTTAATATTTTTCCGAATAGTACATGAATATTTTTATAATACAAGAATATGGAATTTTGATATTCTTTTTGTTCTAAACGTTATTAATTCTCTTTGTTTTCATTATAAGTTCATGTTTTCTATTATGTATACTTTATGTTTACAGATACCTCTTCCACTACCTAAATGGAGTATTTTTTAAAATCATTTAATTAAAGCATTATTGTATTTTTTTATATAAATTATAAATTAGACAGCTGAACAAGAAAAATACAATTCTTATTTAGCCGTATATACCAATTAATGGAAGTAAATTACACATCAGAAATTAAAACTAATTTGCTTGTGTAAATTCTTATTATTTTAATGCTTTAAAAACTTCCATGTATTCCAAATATTTTTAAGAATAAATAATATTAATTAATTTATTAAAGAAACTTTTTTTATATTTTTGCAAATTTAATATCTGAATTGATATTTAAACAAATATTTTTAAGTACTTCTTCATTTTAATAAAATAAAATTAAAATTGTATCATTTAAAGAATTTATTAATTTAAAATATTTTATTTCAATTTTTATATAAATATTAGTTATTAAAATTTGTATTTCTGATTTAATCGATTTTAATACTATTTTATATTATAAATTTAGGGAATATATATATTTGTGTAAAATTCCAAAGATTGTATTTATATGTCATTAAATAAATGGACAAATCATAATACCATTAGTTTATTTAATAAATTATAACGTATATAGGAAATACTCATTTGTACAACAATAGCTGAATAAAGATATTCTTATACATTTAAACTCATTTTGAATTAGAATTGGATCTTTCTCTACATGAATACGTAAAATCTAAAAATAAAAAAAATAAATGAATATCATTAATTCACTGAGTGATGCCATGTTTTTATTCTGTATAAATAGTTTTATGAATTATTGTATGCATTTTTATTTTGTTTTTAAAATATTACTAAAGGTAAAAAATGTATTCAAATTTGAAAACCTATCAGCATGAAACTACACAGCACAGAATATCTATTCTGTACTATATATTGTATATATTGTATTGTATCCAATCACCGTACAAGAAAAATGTTTTCATAAAGGAATTGTTGCATCGAACCGAATAATAATAGTTAATAGTAGTGGTCCAATGTTGGGCATATTTTTATTACATGCACGTTATCTGTTCAGTGGTTGAAAATTGATATTTACAGTTATGTATATATGGATAAATAGTTTAATTCACTTTTTTTACATTTAATATTTAATTTAAAATATTTGATTTATTCATATTTTGAAATTTTAAGCAATCGTGAACTATTTTAGTGCTATACTGTTGATTATATTCTGTAATATAGAAGTTTTACTTTCAAATTCTGTTTATAATTTTAATATATTGGAAATGTAAAAATATTAAATCTGTAGTATAGATAATTTGTATTATATTATGATTATATTAATTAAAGATAAAAATTATATGTAAAGTAAAGTTTATTTTTCATAAAGAATTTGTTTTTCAACTTTTTCAGTATACTTTATACAATTTCAAAATAGTATAAGCATAGAACTTAAGTATGATTATCAAATTAAGTGGTTGATAGTCTCATTGTAATATCGTAAAGATATTCATAGAATACGACATTTTAATGAACAAGTAATCCAATTACTTCATGGTATTACTAGAGGATTAAAATTTATAGAATAACCTCTTTTTGCGAATCAGGAGTGGCTCGATCTTGTAAGATAATGTTTGTAGTCTGCTTGGTATCTGATTATAATTATGAAAATATTCCACTTAAAGCTTTTTATTGATATTATATAAACTTGTAAATATTTTACACATATTTTAATGGGGCCTATTTAATTCTATATGTACATAATTTCACAGTTAATATTATCTAATGAAATTAATATATATTTTATAATATTGTAAAATCGATCATTATGGATCATTTTTTTGTTTATTTCCAAAGGAACAAATTAATTCAAAATTAAATTTATATAAGGCAATTTAAGATGCATTTTCTTGTTTCTTTTTTGTAATTTTCAAATTTATATAACATTTTTAAAAAGGCAAACTAATGTAGTTTATAGTTATGAAAAGAAAAGTATATTGTGATCTTTTTTCAAATGATAAAATTGTATATTTGAAAAATTATTATTAATAAATAGTTTAATTTTATTTTTTAAACAATATGTAAATACTTAAGTTAAATGTTTTTGTTAAATTATTTATAAATATTCACTTTTGTTGACAAATTTATTTAAAATTACCTAAAATAAGATGAAATGATAAAATATGTGAAATATTAAATTTAATTTCATTTTTACTATTTTTTGTAAATAAATTGGAATTATATTTTATATACTGTAGCTACAAATATTATCTTTAATAATGTATATGAATGTGAATTTCATAGTATATACTTTTATAATTTATATTTATGTGTATATTATGCAAATAATTAAATATATATTTTAATAATAAATTCAAGACAAGAAAAAGAATATAAAATATTATATAATTATATTGTTATAATAAATAAAAAATAATACCATAACATTTTATTTGCTAATACATTTTAGTGTACTATTTTATGTTAGTAATTTTAAATTCCTATTTATACTTATAAATTAATAATTAATATTGTTATAAATAGAAAATTTTATGCAAAAAGTTTCTATTAATATTATTTATGTTTTTAGAGCTAATCATGAATGTTTCTAAAAGTGCCTCTTGTGGTTTAGATTTTTGTTCAGTTCCAGATTTAAAAAATTGTTTGTACATTGCTAATGTGTCTAAGTAAATGTTGATATACTTAAATAGTAAATAAATTTAACAAAAGAAATTGGAATTGATAAAATTTGGTTTTATTTATAGATATCAATTTGTAATTATTCCATTGGTTCATCCCAATTTTAAACGAGAATTTATTTTTGGTAGTGCAGAAAATCGTTCTGGACCGTGGACACGATCAGATGTGATACTTTGTAGTTCAGGTAGTTGAAAAATAATTTTAATATATTTGAAGTGATATTGTAGTACATTGTATATTCATAGATTGGAACACTTTAGTCGTTGGTAAATTATCACCTCACATATATGTAGATTCTAAAGTACCTGCAGTAGCTAAAAACAGTGAAGAAACTTTGTGCCAAGAAATAGCATTGGCTATTCATTTAGGATTAGTTGCGATTACTTTTAAATTAAATGGAATATTAAAAAAAAATATGAATCTTGCTAGAATAATATTTAATAAACTTGCTGCAACTCCTCATTTTCAAGTAAGTGTTTAAAATATATTTAAGATCTAATGCATGTTTTAAAAAATTTGTAAGTAGTAATATATATCAATTGAGTTATATTTTATTTAACACTAATTTAATAAAAATTAGACTAGTATATAATATATTCTGCAATTAACTGATGCATTAGCTTTTTATTATTCTCTATACCTAGAACTATAACAACTTACTATATTGAAATATAATTAAATAATATGGATACAATTTTTACTTTTGTTTTTAGTTTTGTATATAATTTTCTTATCATTAGAATATATATCATGATATAATTTATTCTAAAAAAAATATAAAAAAATATGAAATAATTCTAATGATTTTATATATAAAAATCATAATTTATGCTTTATAAAGGCTCAAATATGGGTGCAAATTCCAATGGAAAATCCAATAAAACAAGCATATTTTTATAGAGAGGATAAGGATATCAATCAGTTAAAAATTGAAAGTCCTTGGCAATGGTGGAATGAATTTCGAATAGTTTGTGACTATAATAGAAAGCTTATTGTTGCTTTAATTGTCAGTCATGATTTGCCTGACAAAGAAGAAGTATTGGATATAGAATTAAATTTAATTGAATGATTGAAAATATATTTACCTTTTTAATTTGCAGATTGATAGATGGTTAGGTGAACCAGTTAGATGCTTAATTATCCCTACAACAGTATTTATTACAAATAAAACAGGTTTTCCAGTATTGAGTAAAGCTCATCAAATGATGATAAAAAAATTTTGTTCCCTTAAAGTTCAGTTTGTTATAACTGGTGCTAGTCGTCACCAAAATATAGTTTATTATTATCATTATATCGATCATTTATGGAAGGTAAAAATTTAGAGAAAACTATTTTTATTATATGCATTATATGTAGATGCATATATATGTGTATATTTACTAAAAAATATATTTTTTTTTACAAACAAAAAATTATTTGTATTGAATATTTTTTTATAAAATTCAAAACGTATACATTTTTAGAATTGGCAACCTAATGGACCTATTGATTCTTTTGCTCGAGGCTTTGAAGATTATCTTCAATGTCCCTTACAACCTTTAATGGACAATTTAGAATCTGGAACGTATGAAGTTTTTGAAAAAGATCCAATAAAGTATACTGAATACCAATCTGCTATCCAAAAGGCCTTAATAGATATAAGATTACAGAGAAAAAATATTAATAATAATGAAACAATGTATATATTCATTTTTTTACATAATAAAATTTTTTTTTTAAATATCTAAATTCTCAAAATTATAGAGTAATTATGGTGGTTGGTGCTGGACGAGGACCATTAGTTCGTGCTGCATTAAATGCCTCAATAAAAATCAAACAAAAAACTAAAATATATGCAATTGAGAAAAATCCTAATGCAGTTTTAACGTAAGTTCTTATTTTTGTTCTTTTATCTGAATCAGGATATTATTTAATTTATTTAATTTATGCTTAAAAGCTTGCAAGCATTACAACAAGAAATGTGGGGGGAAACAGTGATAATAGTGTCTTCTGATATGAGAAAATGGAATGCTCCTGAGAAAACTGATATTTTAATCTCTGAACTATTAGGTTCATTTGGTGATAATGAACTCTCACCAGAATGTTTAGACGGAGTTCAGAAATTCTTGAAAGGTTTGATTATTTTTATTACTTCGAACTAAATTCGTTGTTTCAGGATTTTTAAAAAACTAATACTATTCTGTTTATTCATAATTAATATTATGTACAAATGTACATATATTTTAATCTTAGATGATGGAATAAGCATACCATGTTCTTATACATCTTATATTGCTCCAGTTCAATCTTCTAAATTATATAATGAAGTAAAAGGATGCAAAGAAAAAGATAAACATCCTTTATCACACTTTGAAATGCCTTATGTGGTTCATTTTCAGAATAAATATGATATTGATCTTCCTCAACCACTTTTTACTTTTTATCATCCAAACAAAGGTTTATTTAAATTGTATTGTCTATTTTAATATTCTTAAAGGTATGATTTTATTAATTTAAAATTATCTTTAATTAGATTTGAAAATTGATAATTCAAGGTATGGTAAAAATATTTTTAAAGTTAAGCAAGATTGTGTGCTTCATGGATTTTCTGGTTATTTTGATGCAGTTCTGTATAAAAATATAAAGATTAGTATCGAACCAAGAACTCATAGCCCTAGAATGTTGAGTTGGTTTCCTATTTTCTTTCCTATAAAGGTGAGAATTAAAGAAAAGACATATAGGTCTAATATTTAATATGTAATAGAAAAACAACTGATTAAAATGAATGTACATAAATATTTTTAATATTTTGAAATATTTAATATTTATATAAAAATAAATCTCCAATATAGAACAAGAGTTTTTGAAAACCTAAATCATATTAATTATATAAGCATACCTTAAAGATGATCAAATTAACATTATTTTTAAGTTTGAATTATTTATACAATTTTATGTATATTAATTATTTTTGTATAGATTATGAATAGAAATTTTCATTTTCAGTTTCTCTAAAATTTTTCCTATAAAAATATTTGAAAACATTAATTTGTATTTATATTAAAATCTTTTCATTTTTTTTTTAATAAAAGTTTTTATATACTTGAGTTTATATTATTTAAAAATATTTTAATATATTCTAACATATATATAAAGATTTTTGTTTTTAATTATAAGATTTTATTTAATCTAAAAGTTAAAAATGAAAGATATATATCTAGTGGAACTGTAGAAAAGTAAAGAACATATATACATATAGAAATATAAAATATTTCAAATAATTACAGTTATCTTATATTTTCAATTAGGATCCAGTAAATTTGAAAGCAGGTGATGAAATAGTCAGCCACTTTTGGCGATGCTGTAATTTAAAAAAAGTCTGGTATGAATGGGCCATCGAAAAACCAATACCTGTTGCTATTCACAATCCATGTGGCAGATCTTCTACTATTGGATTATAATGAATGTAGACCAAAAATATTGATCATCATGTATACATACAAATTGAACTAGTACAATTTGGACCATAAAATATTTGAAAATTATTTTACTTAAATAAAATATTTTCAAATAAATGTTAATTTTTTTTATCATAAAATCACGAAGTAAGCAATAAAATATATATTGAATTAATCGATACTCATTCTTATAGTCAAACAAATTTATAAGTTCAAAAATTTAGATAGTATCCATTACAACTATTTTATTTTATTAAATTTTAAACATATAAAACCTAATAATTTATTATCATCATTAATATGTATTAATCGTATTACTTATTAATTTTACATGATTTAAGAAAGTGAATGGTCAGTTATAAATTAATTTTTTTTTAAATAGTACTTTAATCAGATCTTATTTTATTATACTATGCTGGAGAGAATTATAACTATTTAAAATATTTGTTTTTTATTTAATATATAAAAAATATTGTTTTAATTTAGTTTTTTCATTTTTATATCAAAAATAATTTTGAATATAATTCTGTCATGCTTATCAATAAATATACAAAAAAATGTTTTCAAATTATATTTTAATGTACAATTTAAGTGACAAGATTATCAATGATACAATTTTTTCACAGCAAATTATTTTGGTAAAATATTGATTTATTGTAAAAAAAATTAACGGTATGCTTATAATTATTTTATAGAATAATTGTTGATTTAGTTCTATTATTTTGAGAAAATATTTTACATAAAATGTATTAGGTACATTTGTGTAAGTAATGTAAATTATTTGATATAATATGATCAACATAATTTTTATAAGTAACACTGAAATATATTCGTATTAATTTTACTCCAGATTAAAAATGTATATGTAATTATGAGGTTATAAAGAACAAACATAGATAAAAATATGTTGCACTGTATGAAATAAAGTATACTACAAAAAATACTTTTACACGTACTAATTAATATAGGTATTTATAGAAATTTTTATATTTTATTCCATAAATAAATATCTTCAATTTTTATTTTAAATATAGTTCTAATAAATAAATGTATAAATGGATTTCATGTGTTCTCAGCGTAGAGTTGAAATTCTAACGAATCTTAAAATTTTCTTAGTGATCCAGCAGACGACGCCATTTCGAGGTTATTTGAAGCAATTAAAGATTGTAAACTTTTATTAACGTCTATTTGCTAATCTATAAAGAACATAACTACTAAATAATGGCACGTTTAATAAGACAAATTACAAAAAACACGGTAAAAACATTACTGTTTGTTCACGAGACAACATTTATAAGCATGTTGAAATCAAAAAATTCTGTACGGCAAATTGCCGTCACACATTATTACAAATCTGGTATGTGTATTCGTATATATTTATTATTCAATATAATTTTTTTCATTTACACAATTTATATCAATTATATATAACTATTAATTAAATCAATTAGTTATAAAGGTAATAGTTACAAATCAATCCAAAAAGTTATTTTTGTACTTATCTAATCAAAAGTATTTTGCAATAATTGAAAGATTAATTGATGTAATTTTTGTACTTTGTTACACAATAATTTATATAAAAATTACGTGTATTTTATAAATATAAAAAATAAGCTAGATTCATTTGTATTTTGTGTGCACAACCATCACTTCTAAATAAAATTGTTTGAATTTTTGAGACAAAACTTATAGAAAATATTTACAGAGGTATTAATATAAATAATTAAAAATCTTTCGTTGTTCTAGTTTAAATGATTATTTATAGTTTTTTCAACATTATTATCAAAATATAAAAAAAATATAAATAAAATCAAATATTAAAAAGTTTTTCTGAATATTGTATTTTTATATACATATATATCAATTAAAAAAATTTTAAGAAAATTGAAAACAATCAATTTTAAAATAAAATAATTTATGTTGAAATTTAATTATTCTCAAATAATTTTTCATATGTGCATATTAGTTGAGTAAAGTAGATTACATAAAATAGTACTAACCCTTCTCTATTTAAAACAAGAAACATTAAATAAAATAAAACTGTATAACCTTAGCAATGAACTTTTGAAAACTAATTATAAAATAATTATAGATATTTATATTTTGTAAATACACACAATTACATATAAGAAAATAAATGTATATTAATTTTCAAATAAATTATTAAACAAAAGTAATCATAAGTAATTATTGTTATTAGATATATATTATTTTAAAGTATATCAAACATCTATATGATATTTAGTAGACCATATGTTTATATTTTAATTTGTAAACATTCTATATTACAGAAATTAATGGAAACAATATTCATTTTTAATGTTGTGAGGATAGTTTAGATAAAGAGGCACAATGTTATTAAGTACTGTAAATGTTTATTTGGAAAAAAACTTAAAATATAGAATGAATTGCGTACTGTAAGGATGTAGTATTTTAGGATGAAGTGGAAAATGTTTATAATTGTTATTTGCAGATAATGCAAAATGTTATTTTTATTATGCTAATTATAAATTGTTATTTGCATATATTCCATAATTTTAGTTTTGTTTATAATATTTCAATTATAAATTGTATACTTTTTATCCATTTAGAAAATTTATTAATTTTTTATTTGCTTATGTTTCTAAAATTTGGTTTTGAAAATTTTCCTTTTTTTTACATGGCAAAGTATTTAATTTTGATTTATCCAACTCTCACCCTGTTGTTAATTTAAATAGGTTTGAATATTGAATATATCATTATACATATTTATAATGGATATTTATTTGGATATTTTATTTAAGCTTGGTTTTTTTAATATCATGTTCATATAATTAAACTTATTTCATATGCTTATGAATTATAATAATATTATTTATGTATATTTAAAATAAAATGTAGTAATTTGATTTAAATTTGACTTTAATTATTATAGTTTTAAAATAAAAAGCAATGCTTTTTTATAATTTATTAATGTAAACATTTTGTAAAAAAAGAAATATATTTTATTTTAATTATATGATTTTATTTATACACTTAATTATATAATATAAATCTCTCTATAAAATTCTCTATTTTATCTAAATTTAATCTAAAATTCTCTATTTAATCTAAATTAAAGTATCATGAAGATATTTGTTAATATTTTTATTACATTTTTAATTAATTTAGAAATTTCAATCAGTGCAAATTAAATTTTTTGTAGTTACAATCTTAAATGAAAAATTACTCAAATATTCATATATATGAAATTTATTTTTAGTCAATTGTTATTTATGTTAAATAATTATAATATTTTAATAATATTTTAATACTTTAATTATATGATTTTAAGTAAATTATAAAATAAATTAAAATTTTTCGCAATACTATTTTATTTACATTAATATTTATTAATATAATAATTATATATAAAATGAATATAATTCATTGATAATATTTCTCTTTGTATATTTCCGACCATTCCAAAATATTTTAATACAAGAATAACAGGTTTCAGTATTGAAGAATATATAGAAGATATTTGTACTATACCTTTAAATCACACGACATACGAAAATCCAAAATATAGCGCTATACATCATCTACAGCTATCAACTCATTTCTCAGGTGTATCGAATTCATGAACTAATTTTACTTGTATTCTCACTTTTTTGTGTAATACCATAAGATATAGAAACTCAAGGAATTATAGACGATTTACAATAATTCACAATTTGCATTATGCAATCAATATTATTAGTGCGAAATTTAATTAAACTTTCAATTAATGTTGCTTAATAATAATGTACGGAAATTTATATATTACTGATAATGTTTTTTTCCTTTTATTTCCTTAAAAAATAAATAAGCAATTGTAAAGTTAAACAGCATATTTTAATGTTTTGTTTCACATATGACTATATTTAAGCAATTTTCACGATTTCAAAAATACTACAAGTATTAAATAATAACCAATAAATTCTCATTAAAATTTTTTTGATGCAATCATTTCTATTAACGATTCATATTTATCCTTTGATAAACAGTAATTTTTATTCTTATTTACGCTGAATTTATATCTATCTATATTAACTTTTATAAGTTTTTGAGTGTATTTTTTTAATCTCTATTGATCAAACTTTTATTATATTATATTTACAAGGATTTTCGTAAAAAAGGCTTCATGAAAGTGGGCATTTTACACTTTTAGTTTACCCATCAAATTTTAAGGAAAATATATTTTACTGTTCCTTCCTTTTATAAATTTAGATTATTTTTAAATCTATTATTTTTCGGTCTATTACAAACATTTTTGGTCAGATAATAAATTTGATAGATATCGCACTTCCAAAAGGCATCAGTAAAATATTGGATTAATTACCATTGCTTTCATGGATACATATATATATATATATATGTTGTTCTTTCATATTGTGTTTAAAAATAATTTAGAATTATAATATTGATTTTAGTTCAAGAATTCAACGATTTGGGATTTTTATTTTGTTTTATTTACAACAGATTCGTTAATATGATAATATAAACTTTTGTGATATATTGTTAAAACTTTAGTAGCAGAAATTTATTATTAAAAATTATTTAATTTCAATTAAGTTATGTGAATGTGATATAAATACACTGGATCTTATATTGAAAAGCTCGTATAGCGGGAAAGGATTTATGAATTAACATGTATTAAATTGAAGAAGTTCTCACAAATTAGTTCTCAAAGTTTCAACTATTCTCGTATCGAATAAAACAAGTAGTATAAAATTAATTTTGCTATAGTGAACAATTCGCTTACAAACGGATACATAACTTCTTTTGGTAAACTTGATTAGTTATATAAATTTGCATTTATTATTTTCCCCCAGATACCTGCATTCTTCCTCAATTTATTAAACCCTTTCAGATATTCGTGTGACTTAACATTTTTCATAGATAGATGAGATCATTTTTTTAATACTATGAACCTAGCTCAAAAGCATAAAAAATATGTAGAATACTATTATCAGTAGTAGATAAACAAAATACATTTCATTACAAGACAACAATTAAGAAATATGAAGTATACGAAAATAATGACTCTTGTAAAAGAAAATTTCTGTAATAATTATTATATAATTTATTTATAAATTTAATTAATTGATTTAATCATTTAGTTATTTTCTTTTAAGAGTAATGAAACCCTAAATTCGAAAATTATGATGTCACATCAAGGTTTTATATAATTAATTTTTAAGTGATGTTTTTAAAACAAAATCATGTTAGTATATTTTGTATACTTATATTCAAATCCTTGTCTCATTAACGTTTATCTAAACAAATATTAAAAGAAAAAAAAAGACTTTTTTTGAAATGGCGATAAGAAATATTTGCATTTCATGATACAGGTCTCATGATATATTCATTAAATTAATTTTTTCGAAAGTAAAAGCAGGTGATGCTTTAAACATGCAGTAAATTTGCTCACTCGTTACGTAATTCATTTTTACTTTTTTCAAGATAGTTAAACATAATCGCGTTAGATGCACGTCATATGTATATGCAATATCGAGATCACAATTAATCATAAAAGTGGTAACTATCCTGCATAATGTGGTGAAATAAACATCGGAAACTAGAACAAGGAAATGTTAATTTTTAGCATTTCATTTTTTATTATCTGTATCATTACTAGTTGAGAATGTCATCCAATCTTTTCAAGACAAAAATGTAATGACACGGATCCACTGTTTCCACGAAAATATTCGGAATCTGACCAAAGCTGTAGGGATTCGACATTGAAGAGATGGCATAAAATCTTTTAAATTTATACAATTATTTAGAACAATGCTTATTAATTATATATTTGGATATTGAACCACCGATCATTAATTTATTCGCAAATAAATTTACAATTGGTACATAATAATTTAGAATTTGTTTTACAATATACTTTAAAATAATACAAATTAAATAATACATTTTTTTATTGATACAAATTTAGAGTAGTAAAAACATGAATGCTTTTATTTTATTAAATATTTCATCATATAAAATAGTTCTTAAATAAATTTAATTAAAAAATAATTTATTCATTAAAACTCTTTTTACTGAATAAACATTGATAATATGTTTAACAAATTACTTTCAATTGAAAATACCCAAATATATTGTTAACATTGTATTCAATCGAATATAATTATTGAAAATGACAGATTATCATGCAATATCAGTATGCATCAAATGTACAGCGTAATGAGTAGAGTAAATTCATCACTATATAGTGGGATATACTTCATATATAAGTAATAATTAATTATCAAAATATATTAAGTTCGTATTGTGTGTGTGTGTGCGCGCGCGCACTATTGTGTGTCAACTATAAAAACTACTTTAATTTGTTTTTAAAATAATCCTAATGTAATTTACGTATAGAATAGTGAGCCACAATGAATTAAAACAAATAGTATAATATGTTATAACTGTTAGATTTCCATTTTTGTGGTACGTTACATTATAAACAAATTGTTAATTTACATTAAAAAATTATATAAAGTGACAAAATCGATCTTACTAAGTAAACAAGCATTTCGATAATTTACAGAGATCCAAAATATTGATGAAACTTGATCGAATTAAGAAACATAAAATTTCATAAATTACTAAATAATAATGTCTAATTTTCTTATATTTAAAAGATTAATCTTCCAGATATTGAAGACATTTGACTCATCTATTAGTTCCAAATCTATACTGCAGAATCTACATAAATTTATGGGTCGAATATAAATTTTTTTATTTTATAGAATTACATTGCTTAATTATTATGTAACAATAATATGAATCCAACAATATCGTTAAAAACTTATATCAACAGAATTTCGAATACACAATTTACTTTAATAATTAAGCCTAGGCGATTTTAAAATGCCCTTTATTTTGAAACATTTTTTTAACGATACAATAAAATAATTCTAAATATTTACAAAAATAAAAATAAATTTTATTATCAAAATTGTATTGAGCTAAACTTATATAAGTCTATATGGTTAAAAAAAATATATATATAAAATATTGATTAAAAATACGTATTTTTAATTATGCTCTATAGGAGTGAGATTTTCAGACTTTTTAAAAAAAATTGATTTTAGTTTAAATGGAAAAAATAGAGAAATTTTCGGTTACATAAATATTTTACTCTCTATATTAATACTTTTGCTTCTTTTTATTATCATCTATTTTGTTTTTTTATTTATAAAATTTGTTATAATTATTTTGAAAATGCGATGTAGTGTATGGTAGTTGTTACAAAATAATAAGAACAATTTAACTCTGATACAGGAACCTTTAATAATTTTTATATCTATTAATTTATTCTTTAATCAGACATAATGTGCTATTTGCAGTGATATCTACACTATTCTTTAAACTAGTTTTTTTTATATTTATGAAAAATATTTTATAAAATCATTCATAACTCATCATTGTTCAACTGTTTATATATTATATTAATTTCCTTAAATCCACTGAATTTCTGAAATATCGACAACTTTTGTTATTTATCATATAATAAATATAATAATCTACAAATAGTTTTTTAGCGCTACAATATTTAATAATTTTGAAAATATGAAATAAAAAGTGATACATATCGCGTATATCAAACTGTTAAAACTTAAACATATAAATATTCTAAACGTTTATATTGTAAAAAATATTGTATTATATATTTATCAAATAAATTATTTATAAAATAAGTTAAGTTATATATTTTAGTCGATTGTCATTGAAATCGATTTTTTAATATTTTTAACATTTCTATGTATGTATGTTAACACTATATATGTAGAACTGTAACATAAATGAATTTATTTAAATTCTCAATTACTTATTTTATTATCAGTTAATGTCGTTTAAATTTGAAATATTTTAGTGTTATTAGTTAAAACTTTCTAGTTTTAACTAATTCATCAAGATGAATAAACTTATGAATTGACAAGAGCTTTATAGTTTATACAAAAACATAAAAGTACCATATAAACTTTTTTGTTATTTAACATACTTATATTGTATTTTTGATCATTAATATTAAAAACAGTTTGTATTTCGTTAATTTTATATTTTATTTATACATAAAATCTTATATATATAGTAATAAAAATATTTAAATAAACTAATTTTATTTATAGAAAGAAAATATACGGATAAACACGAATGGATGATGCTAAATGGAAATATTGGTACAGTAGGTATTTCAAATTATGCACAAGATGCATTAGGAGATGTGGTTTATGCACAGTTACCTGATGTTGGATCAGTCGTCGAAAAAGAAGGTAAAATAGAAATGACGAGGACAAACATTATGTCACAAATATTATCTACATCCCTTACATATCTTTATATACATAAATATTGTACCTTCGAATTCAGATTTTCAAAAAGTAACATGTAAATTATTTAGATATTAAATTAAAATCTTTAAACAAAACGAAAGCATTTAAATTTAAACTGTTTTAATACAAAATTTTTAATTTATGGTATTAATGTATTTAAAAGAATTTTATTTACAATAAAATTGAAATAAAAAATAAGTATTATTCCTTTTATCAAATTCAAAATTATTTTTGTAAATTCGGATATTGAAAATTTTATTCGAAATTAAAGTAATTTAAATCGAATTATCTAGTGATCAGAATTTAATCCATATAAAAAGGATGAACAAAACAAATTATATCAAAGTAGAAAAGAAAATTAATATATGAAAGGTAAAATTATAAATTTTAATATTATAAAAAAGGAATAAATTGATCATTTATAATTAACTAACAATTATATACAATATTAAATTGTATTTATATCTAATTTATAAAGAGTAATAGTTCATTTATTTATGTATATATCTAATTGTAATTTCGTGACTAATATATACATAGCATTAGCTTATATTTAATTTATCGATACATATATACATCTAACTTTTACACAAAATTGAGCAGTTATATACCCCCCCCCCCATATATATACATATATATATATATATTTATACGAAAAAATTTTAATCTGTAAGCTCACAATTAAAATATTAATAAGATTCAACTAATCTATGATATATATAAATTGAAAATTAGCCTACATTGTAATTGATTTCTAGATTTTGAATTATCTTGAGTGCTTTCGTAAGACGCACAACTTACGAACTTGACAAGTCAGAATGAGTTGTAAGGGTAGGAGGAAAAAACGATAAAGTGAGCAATCTTGTAACATTAGAGATCTAAAGTTAAAAATTAAAGAACTAATCCGCTAACTTGCAAATTTAATAGAAATTTTAATAGAAATACCCCGTTCCTCCCTTTTTTAAAATTACATATGTGGTGACGATCATACTGGAAAAGTCCATGTTAAACTAATGCACAAGGAATATTATGAAGATGTGCGAGAAGTAGAGAATGAAAGAAATTACAACATTGAAATATACCGTCGGTGTATAGATATAGCGAATGTATTACCTAAGTAAGCACACAATAATGAAAATAAAAGCACAAAATTTTTATTAGCGCACGTGGTAGAAAGAAAGGAAGATCTTTCTAGATTTTACAAGTAATAAAATGAAATTTCTAAATATAAAGTTATTACGGAATATCGAAACAATGTATCTATTTCAATATTATATATTAACTTCTTAAAACTTGTATTTCTTCAACTCATTTGTTTGAATTCAATCATAGCAATATAAAAACTATTACTTCTTGTTTATTGTATACAGTATGAATAGGAGATTGTGTTTTATTACTGAATTTATGTTTAATATAGTTCACGACACTAAAAAATGTATGTCTGGAGTTTAAATTGCAAATTTGATTATTGAGTAATTAATTTTAATTAATCAATTTTTAATTAAATTATTATTATTATTATTACTTTTAAAAAGTGAGGTGTCACATAAAATTAAAACTTCATAATACATATTTGCCAAAAATTTTTATTTAATATTAGTACATTGAATTAATAAGTTGAAAAGATTTTCTAAATTATTAAAAGTATATTCACAAGAGTTAGGAAAACTTTCTTACATCTATGATTGAGATGATCAATGAATTGTTTATAAATGTTGTCTAATGAAAACAATGAATCCAAAATCAAATGTAACATTAATTTTAAAAAAAATTGAACAAGTAATTTGATAGTTATTCAAAGTTTACTTCATTGTTTTCATTGACATTTTGATTAACGAGGTATAAAGAGTAAAATATAGTATCATTCATTGTAATAATACATTTATCATTTACGATAATAATTAAAATATAGTATCATTCATTGTAATAATACATTTATCATTTACGATAATAATTAAAGTAAAAGCGAATAAAAATATTTTCAAGATATTGTCAATCCCTGTAAACATAAAAGCAGAACCAAAAACTAACGGATACATATTATGAGAAAGACTCACTATTCGAAAAGTGTAAATCTAATATTTTTTTTTAAAACTATTCGTACCATAATATTTACACGGAAAAGATATATAAAGAAAATTAAGTTTTAATAAACGTTCAAAAAGCTGGAAAATAAACTCGATGCAAATTTTTATGAAATGTACATCTGATGAACTGTTTAATCAATCTGTGAACTTTTCTTACAAGTACTTTTATCAGACTTATCTCCTTCCGGCCTATTTTTTTTTATCAAATTATTTTTATATTTTACAGACATGCTTGTTAAAGAGGAAGTTATATGTAATTGTATGTAAATTATATGTTACAATAAACGAAATATTTTCTATTGGGTCATATAAAGTAACGGTGAATGATTCTAGGAAGTACGAAAACATTCATCAGGTGGATCTGTCACACGAAACTATGATGCCACTGCTTAAAAACCTCGCATGTATTAATTAAATATACTAATAAAAAAAGAATGTAGATTAGTTTAAAAGTAAATTTTTAACGATTTCATTATATTCGACGAATAACATTTTATCAATTTTATTTAAATCAACTTTAAATCAAAACAGTCTTGATATTTTTAGCTACTTGCTTTTTAGTAATTTTTTTTTCTTATACGTTTTTTCTAAGTTTTTATTAATAAATGATATTTATTGAGCTGTAATCTAATGTATATTTAATATTAGTTGTTAAAACAAAAATTTTAATACCATTGTAATTAGATTTATCTAGTCTTTATCAAATACTTTGTTTCTTTCTGAATACATAAAAATAGAAAATATTTTAAATTATGAATAAAAATAGCTTTAAAATAAAGAAGATACATAAAATATTATGTAAATTTATGTTTAAATGTGTGAGCGTTGGCTTAAGAATATAAATGTGTAGAATAATGTGTTGACGCAAGAAACACGCGTTATTCCTCTTTTTTGTAACATCAGATTGCACTCATCTCTATTGTACGAATACTTTTCTCGTAAGATATTATTCTTAACAAAGTTGTCTCTCTCTCTCTCTCTCTTCCTCTCTCTGTCTCTCTTTCTATATATATTTATATATATACACACATGAATACCTTATTCTTGTGCATGCATCGTAATTTGTAATTCTTACCTATGTAGATTATAAATCGAAAGGTAATCAAATATTTAGGATTAATAAATTTAAGTACCTCTTATTAATTAATTATAAGTATTTTCTTTTTAAATTAGAAATTATTCTCTTATAAATTTGAGATAAGTGTTATAAAATTAAATTGCGTTGTATTGTATAACTTTTGTAAGAATAAGCATTTTATTATTTCTTGAGTGAGTCATAATTATTACTTTCGATAACCCTTTAAAATAATGAAAATTATAATAACCTTATATATTCATTTAATAAATACAAAATATACAATACTTTCTCTTACAAAGGCAATTGCCAAATTTGTGAGCAGTGAATGAGCGCAAAGACAACGCTCTACATAAATTTAATTTTATTCGGTTTACGTGAATTTATTAGCTAAAAAATTTTTATTTATAAAAATAAAAATTATAAAAAATTAATGAAAATAACGAATACAGTTCAATGTTCAGTGGAAAATCATTGAAATATCGAATTATCATTATGTTTAAATTATTCATATACAATAATAATAAGAATTTCTATGTTTTAACACTTTATTTATAACACGAAGGTATCTACAGATATTTACATAAATTCAGAAAAAAATGTTGAAGAAAAACATATAAAAAATCTTTTTGATTCAATAAAATAGCTATCATGATATATTTTGAGTTACCTAAAAAAAACAGACAAAAGTAAATAATGAAAAAAATACTCTTATTTTTATAGTTAATACTAAAAAATTACATTCCAGAAGTTTAAAATTAAATTACACAATCTATAGAAAAAATTAATTATTTGTGTACAATTGCAGTTATATTAGCCTGATTACAAATAATTATAAACAGTTGATTTAAATACAACAATTAGAAATACTTTAAAAATAAGGTAATATAGTTGTAAATGTAAAAGGCAAATAGAAAAGTTTGAAAACTACTATACAGTTGATAACATTAGTAGATGTTATTGAAGTATTTATTTAAGTGAATGTAAGTAAAAAATGGCATTCTTTAATTTATATTTACAGGTGAATGCGGTGCTCTAGAATCAGTGAAAGCTGCTTCTGAAATTATGAGTCCGTGTAGTGGCAGAATTATAGAAAAGAACAAGGCTGTGGAGAATAAACCTGGACTCATCAATTCATCTTGTTACGATAAGGGATGGTTATTTAAGATCGAATTGAGTAACCTAGACGAGCTAAAAACTCTTATGGACGAGGATGCTTACAATCAATATCTCAAATCTGATCTTCATTAAGAATAGTATCTTCACACGAAAAGTAAAATGATAAATATCAAAACACCCAGAAACTAAAAAATTACAGATTCTTAAAAGTATAATAATTTCAGAGCATGCATAATAATGTCGGATATTTCAGTCCCAAAAACTTCTATTTTTACATAGATAAATCTTCATTCAAGGAAGAGAGAGAGAGAGAGAGAGAGAGAGAGAATAAACTTTTTCTTCGATATAAAATTATATAAGACCAATTATCCCTATATACATCTTTATTTATATTAAAACAGTATATTTTAAAAACAAGAATTTCTTGGCATCTCTTTAATTTTTTATTTTACCCTCATTATATTGTATTTATATAACAATATAAAACAATTGTAATTATTTTTAAAGTTTTTACTGGAACTTCATTTTTACTATTTCTTTAAAAATTTGTTAGCACATGTTATATATATCGGTGTAACTTTTCAAAATAAAAATGTATTGTAAACCGTTCACGTGGTTATTACTCTGATAAATTAATCTAATTTAATCACACATACATAAGAAATTAAAAATATGCAAATTTCAATGAAAATTGAAATTGATATAACTAAAAAATATTGTTTATATTTATTACTCACTTTAAAACTATTCCATTGTTTAATATGAATCATGTGCATGATAAATGTACAAAGTAAATTTTTTTGCTGCTGAAAACTTATTAATCATCAGATTTATAGTTATATCAATAACTATATTTTAAAATTTATTAGTTATTTTATTAATTCCAGAAAAACAATCTAATGCTTTGTTGTATTCATTAGCTTGACTGTATCAACTACAGTAAACATGTACATGGAGCTTTAACAGTGCTCTGAAACACAATATGCAAAATTACATTCTATATTAGTAAATATATTCATTTACAAGTTGAAAAGATTTATCAAGAGTAAGTATTTATTGATTTGACAAATTGGACTATAGATAATCATTAGTATTCATAACTTGGTCTGAATAATTATTTATAACTTTTGATTTTGTATTATTAAAAAGTTTATGATACTGTGTAGTTTAACATTCTTTCTTGTTATAGCAATAATATATTAAAATTTAAAAATAGATATTAAAGTATTTGAAATATTTAGAATTTCTTTGGAATATTTATCAAAATTAAAACGCAATATTACACCGCATTGTAACACACTAGTAACTTCAAATTTGAGAAGGAACAATAATTATGTTAATAGTAAAGATATATTTACATTCATTAGGTTTTGTTTCTACATAATTTACAATTGCCAGTGTTTAAATGGCAGTGTCAACAACACTTAAGTTTCACAGTATTGTTTTCCATTACATTCAAAATATTTTTTATTTTGTATATTTTTTTTATTTTTTATAATTAACAGTTTAATTGCGCTTTTTAAACGATAAATTCTTTTTGAAAAAAAATGATGTGACATTACTTTTAATTCAAGCATTTGCCAATTATAATTGGTAACTGTATATTAATATTTAACACAATGTATATAATATCCTAAATATATTATTCGTAAATTACAATTATTGTTATTAAACATATTTATTAATTGAATTTGTTTGAAAATTAAATTGGATAAACATGTAAAACGACAATGAATTTTTCTTATTTTGTTTAAAGCTAAACACTTAAGTAGTAAAAAGTCATATCAATTTTTTCTTATGTAGTAAAAGATGCTTTATAATTTTATACTTGGTGGTTACAAAGGTTGTTCCGAAATTGTCAAATCGACATGTTCGCATGTACAATAATATTTCTTGAAAATAAATGATAAAAGCAAATTATAACATAAATAAAGCTCGCATTTTTAACTTTACAACAAAAGCGTGCAATTTATAAAAGAAAATAATGAGGATATACAAACTTAAAGAATGTCAAATACTTAGAACATTATTGACATATATTTACTTCAGATACAAAGAGATTATAATGAACAAAATTAATCATGATGACGGTAACATTTCTGTGACACATAATGGTACAAACGTACAATAATAGTGGTGGGATATATCAGCGCTTTTGTAAGAACAAAGCAGATTCAGTACTTGCATCTTTTTTTTAATTAAAAAAATAAAATAAAAATGCTTTAACTGGTCTCCTTTATTCTGAGGTATGCGGTTACTAAAATTATAAAAATTAAAAAAATTAAATTAATACATTTATGAAGAGGTAGTCATTCGTGTCAAATATTCGAAAAATAAAAAGGGTTTCTTCTCGGAGAGATTCTATATATATATATATATATATATATATATGTGTGTGTGTGTGTGTGTGTGTGTGTGCGCGTGTGTCTCTTTATGTGTATGTATCAAAGCGAATGAAAATTTAAAAAAAACTTATTGTTACGCAACGCAGTATAATTATGAACTAGACGACATGAAAATTTTGGAACTCTTTAATCGTGTATTCTTTATAATTTTATAATTTTTTTTTTTACAACTTTTCTTCGATATCGATAAAAATTTGTAAAGAAGCCTCTGCTCATGAATGATAACAATATTATTAAAACTCTAGTTTGATACCAACTGTCTCTTTTATCATTTTTGTCTCTTTAGTTCCTCAAGGATATTATCTGATATTACAATAGATACATTACATATATAATGTATTTGTAGAGATTATAACAAAATAGTTTTCTTTTTTCATATTTAAATAATTCAGGTACGTTGTTTCTTAAATAGAAACAATTTAGTACGCGCATGGAAGGTTAAAATCTGTACATATTTAAGTTACATTACGAGTTGAGGCTTCCCTTTCGTATTCTTTATTTAATGCATGTTGTTTTTTATTATTTTATTTGTTTATTTTATATCCTCTTGTCACGTTTGACTCTTAAGATCTAGCATTTGTGTGTAATAAAAACCGATGGCTTAGGTACCACAAGTACGTCGCAATACGACGACCTTCACAGCACTGAAGAATTTCTGATTAACTCCTAAAAAATAATATATCTATAAGTGAAAAATAATTACGATCGAATGAATTAATAACTATTCTTAACGTACAGTAAAGATTTCTCATTTCTAATTAACAACTATAAGACGATATTGTTCTTATTCATATATTTATAATAGGCGAATGTGTATGCAAATACACACGCATGAGTGTAAATATGCATGTGTACGTCTATGCGTACATATATGCAAGAATCGATTTTTAATAATTATTCATTAATTTAAACGCTTCGTATTATATAAGACCACATGAACCTTGCTCCAATGATTCATTTTTTAATTTTATGATAAAATTACAGAAAGAAAATATAGCAATCTGTCTTATTTCGCGCATTTTCTTTTTTCCGTCACCAACTTTTGAAGAAAAAAAATCAAGTTATAATAAAATTGAGAAAAAGGAGAAAAAGTAACTTGAAAATTAGTAGAGAACGAAATGAGTTAAAATCAAATTAAGTAATGAATTAATTTCATTAATATTAGTATATAAGCAACAGAAATATACTTTATTTTTTTCAAGTAAACTATACACAAAATATTTTGTAATTAAATATTTAACATAATTTATTCTATACAACATAAACTGGAATGTATTAATTAATATTTACAAATTTGATAATGTAATGTATAGTTCATTGAATGCAAACTTTTTATTACGTTCTCTTAATAAATTTTTCTAAGAAAATTCCGTAATGATGCCCAGATTATTATTAGCGGTAATATTACAAAGGTGTATAACATGTTAATGTGCATTCTTATATATATATACATCACACTGATTTCCTTTGTTTCTTTTTGTCGCTCTTAAATATGCTTATTAAATCCTTGCAAAAACACTTGCAAAAGATTGGCCGCAATATATGGAGTTCATTTGTATGTATCTCTATGTGTACAAGTTTTGTGCGCGTCGGAAGCTTAAATTTTTAGCTCTCAAATACACGCAATAAGATAGTTCGATTAAAGTGAGAGCAAGGCTTCAGTGGTATACGCTTAAAATATAAATTTTTTGTTTAAGTATTAAAAAAATAGTTTTACTTATTTAGATAAAAATTGTCTGTCCTTTGACCAATATTTTTTTGTTTTAACCACCCTTTGTACTGTTTTCAAGGCATCTCGCTTACTGTTTCCCTGCATTTTAAAGGTTATTTATCTGTATTGTAAAATCTTGTTTTATCTCATTTCCATACACACAGATAAACTCTTTTTTATTTATCTCATTTATTTTTTATGTCCATGGATACTTATCTAAAACTTGAACATGAAATATAGAAAATATATGTCATTAAGCTATATATATATATATTTTCAGATACACTGTATAATATATATACTGTGTATATATGTAAAATATGCACGCCTATACTGATTTCCTTAATTTTCTTATTTTTTGACTTTCTCTAAATTTAATTATTCCACGAATATTAATGTTACTGACTATCTTTGTAAGACTCTCTTATCTATTTGTTTATCTTTTTGCTATCCTCCTCTCTCTCTCTCTCTCTCTCGCGCGCGCATTGCCTCTCTCTCTCTTCTCTTCCTCTTTCGTTAACAGCACTATTCTGTATTTTTCATCCCAATGACACGTACGCTTTGATCGTACGCTTGTTTAATTTAATATTTTCATGTTGAAATTCAGTTCAATCTCAGCAAAGGCGACATATATATGAGGCTAGCGCTGACTTATCCAGCATCAGCAGCATGATCATTATATCCAGCAGCAGCAGCAGCAACGCTTCGTTGTGCTGTCATTGACTTCATTTTCATTTCCTTTTGGCATGCAGCATCTCCATAAGAAGTGTCTGCGTAGGTGCACCTCCGTTACAATGCTTCTGATACAAATGATCTTCGCCTCTGCTTGCTACCACGTGAATTTCAGGTAATACTGCTAACAATTTATTGAACTTGTCCTATAATCCAAAGTAAAGAAATGTAGACATTAGAAATCTTTGTAATACTTGAAATCAAATCAACATCTCAGCTTACTGGTATAGATGGATAACAGGTCAAAGTGTAGTCCAAAAGTGCCTGTTGGACTTGCTCATGACCTTCTTGAACATGTTTCTTGTTTACCAGTCCACGCACATCTGCAAAGCACGAAGCATATTAGATAAAAAAGAAGTAATATTTATGAGTGATTTTTTTTTAATATACAACAAATTAACTTTTGCTGATTTATCAACTACAAAATTATGCAAGAGTTAACATCGATATTAACGGAACTCGAATCGATATTATCAGTCAGGAGAAAATAAAAAGAGCTTACGTTAAATGAATATCAATTAAAATAGTAAAAGGTAAACTAACCATGATTAAGTAACATTAAGAATTTCATGCAGATGTAGTCAGAAAGATCGAACTTGAGCTCTTGAAGTTTTGAGGAAAGATTATTGAAAAGATCCGCCAACGATGGAACTCCAAGTAGACCCAGACAAAGAAGATCAAACTTTTGACCGTTGTGAAGCGTCGTTTCATCGGGTAAATTATTATGTAACCTCTGATGTAGGTGATCGAGCACCAACATATCTGACCAGGAGTGTTGAAGTAATTTCATTTGGTCATCAACCTATTTAGGCAAAATCAATAAATTTTTGTACAATACCAAAAAATAAAAGATGTTAGTTGGATTAGTTAGATTCAAAGGAATTTTATAAGTCCATTCTACATTCTTCTATTTTCTTTTATCCGCAGTAGAAAAGTAAAATTAAAATAGGAAATTATCAAGATGATGCATGTATATTATTCATTTCTATTTGAATTTTAGCTAAAATGTCTTAATCTACGCTCTGATAAATCAAATATAATATGTACGTTGTATTTAAAATATAAAACAATTTTAAGTTAAATAAATTTAAAATACAAGATATATTATTAATATTTTAAACATATTAATTATCTTTATTTTATGATTTTTACATATGATTAAAATCTAGTAATTAATAATCTTTAATATAAATATAGGACAACTATAAAAATTCCTTTCACAAAACATTACCATGCTAATCTTTCCCAATCAGTCATACTTAAGTGTATGGTTCGTTCGAATCGTATACAAGTAAAATGAACACGAAACCTCTGAATATGTATTTAAATATGAACATACATAAATATAAATAAGAAAGAAGTAGTATATAAATTAAGACCATTAAGCCAATAATTAAAGTACAAATATTTACTACAGAAAAATAAATAAATATAAAACGTAAAGAAAGATAAACGAAAATGATATCAATATTGATTAAAGCGTATAGATTTATATGCTTGAAGAAACTGAATAAGGGAAAGATATGATTGAGAGAGTGTAAGAGAGAGAAACTAAATAATGAAATATGGACCCGCTTTAGGGTAACTGCCGTAACCTAGAAACGTATCTTGTTATGACCTAGATGTGAGGCGATGCTTGAATTCAACGATTGTGCAATGTCGCCGTCGTCACGGTTACCTCACATCCCCTCCGTTGCCATCTAACAAATGCTCTGACAACCAAGCAGCAACAGAGACTTACTTATTACTAGTGACTAATATACACCAAGTTTTTCCTCTCAATAAAAGATACTCTTTAACCCGTAATATTTTCATATATTTTCTTCTCTTTTCCCTTCAATAATTTTTTCGTGTAGCATTTTTATCATCAAATAATTTCACAGAATCTCCCGCATTTTTGGTTATTATAGAGAACAAGGTCAAAATAAAAAGTTATTTTTTGTATTTAAGTATTAATTACAAGACTTCTTTTATCTGCTTTCTTTATCTAGTTTTTAAAATAAAGAAAACAATTTTCTTTTTCGCTGATGTTGACTCAACTAATTTGAAGCAATCATTTATCTACTAAGTAAGAAATTAAAGTATAAGTATTTATATATAAGGAAATTCATCTGTAATAATTTTTTTTCTGTTAAAATTCTTATTACCCAACACTTATATGATATAGTATTATGAAATATATTTATCAATGTTTTGGATCTACATTTTTATTAATAGTAGTAAGTAATTATAAATTGTGATATTGTGATGAAAATTCCTTAAATGTATACTAATATAACTTAATTATTTATATATTTTTCAACGATAAATATATAAATAATTAAAATAATTTTTAATTCTATGATAATAAATTATTTTATAATACTTTTTAGATTTTTATTATGTTGTTTATACCACCAATTTTTGCTTATAATCTGACTTCTTACCATTTTCCTTAATTGTAATTAATTTTTCGTTTCAAAAGTACGTTTCTAATAAACTACTTTTCTTTCATTATTCTATTTACATATTCCGAATAAATAATCGAGCAGTCTCGATCCAATTTAAAAATTGATGTAAATAAAATTTCGATGATTACGGTAAAATTGGTAAATATAAAATAAATACTAAAAAAATTTCATTAAAAAGAATTTTATTATACTTTTGTAATATGCATATGTTTTTGAATATTTCGTAGATGATGTATAGATTTAAAATTCCTAAATAAACGCTACTTTCTGAATAACAGGTTAACAGATGTCTAGGATTTTGAAAAAATTATTTCATTCCGTAAGTTGTTTCGCATATTTTTTAGTGTTATATTTAATTTTTCGTGCAATTATTTTCGGTATTTATATATTACAATATATCATTATAGTATTCAATCATTATTCAATATAAATTTTTATATTTTATTAGTTAAATCCGTTATTGACGGCCATACATATATTTACATTGTAAATCGAAAATAAATCTAATAAAATTTGAAAAATATAGAATAAATCAATTGTGAAACTAATATGCCTTTATTATATTTTGTAATATAAGAATACATTATTTTAATGCATAAAAACTACACTGATTAAATAAAAAATAATAAAATATCAAATATACTTTTCGTTCGATTGCAGCTACTATTTCTGTTTGAATTTGTATATATAGTTATATATAAATATATAACAAACGGAACATAATGAAAGTTTGTTTATCATAACAAAAGCATAATTTTTCTTGTACGATCAAAATTATTGTTAAAATTTTAATATTATAAAGAATATTTATTATATAAATAATAAAATTTAATATATCGAATATTTATGACAGAAATTCCTAAATTTACGTAGCTATACCTAATTGTAAAAATTTATTAAGTAAAAATAAAAATTTGAATAATACATTTGAAGCTGTGAAAGATATCTTTATTTCTTTTCTTACTTTTACTCGTAAACTATAGAGAGAACAACTCACCTTGAGATCTTTGAAGAATACAGAGTTCCTCGCCCAGTCTACCTGAGAGAAGAGATTTTGATCAAGGACCTTACACATGAGCTCAAACAGGTCGACCTCGCATTGATTGTACGTCTGGTTTTGCAGCAAACCAAAAAGAGAAGCTTGCCATTCACGATCGTCGACCGTTTGCACAAAGTCTCGAATCATAGGACTAGTTTTAATAGCGACGCCATTGCCTGGTTGACCAGGCACGTTAGCGTTACCCGGGGTGCCGGCAGCACCGGCTGGGTGATGGTTTGCAAGGCTAGCTGGATGTAAATGACTACCGTGGCTAGAATGTTGTTCAAAGCCACTGAAACTTTTGGGACTAGGCGTCGTTGAATTGGCCGGCCAAAGTTTGGCACTGTCAATGATACCGGAGGCACTTCCAGGCCCATGGCCCAAATGACCACTGTTGCTTGTTGCTGAAGTCAAAGAGGCTTGCGAAGAGGGTGCGATCATTTGATGCTGTCCGCTCTGTAATCACATCAATAAGTTTCAATTAATAACTCATATCAATTTTGCGCTATGAAAGCGCTACTTTCTTAATCTTAAGTATTTACGAAATATAAAAAAAATTAATTTTACTGACCCTTTATATCCAAGACAAACCTTTAAAGTATATTATCGTAAGAATAAAATAACAGTCTTCCGAGAAGGGCTTCAATAAAACATTATCGTATCATATTATTACAACAAGTAATAAAATACTACCATTATTTTTAATTTTTTAAAAACTGCGAATCTGTTTTTAGATTCATATCCTAATGGAATTTATCCGAAAGAAACTTTAAATTAATAAAAGATCATATGGAAACTTAGAGTAGATATTCAAACAATCGAATTCTAGATGATAGTCTCATTATAATACTTGTAATAAAATTAAACATTCTATTTTTATTCTAATTTTGTATTTGATGTGATAGGATTAGCTTCTCATAAACATTTTGTAACCTCAAAAGATAAACTTTCTACAAGTATATGTAAGTATATAAACTGACAATAAAACGATTTAAAAATGTTCAAATTAAAAAATTTGAATTTGAAACATATTTTTAATTAAAGATGATGAATTTGGTAAATATATTTTCACTATTACACATTCCGTTTAAATCATATGAATAAATTACATTTTCAATTTAAAGAATATTTAATGTTCCTAAAATCTGATTTTTTTTTATATTTCAAAAATTACAATTTATCTATATATTATAAATGATACATTCTTCTGAAAACATTTCTTTATAAAAACAATTAAAGCTGAAAGCCTATTCGCTATTAACATTTCAAGATAAATAATGTTATGAATTTTTTATTATAAATATGTTTGCATAAAATATTGGCATTTTTTAAATATTTAAAATATTATATGTTGTATTATAGTTTATGTTGAAATTATCCAATAATTTGTACATATATAAAGAACTTAAAATATCAAATAAAATATAATTTAAATATTTTATTTGTATATAATTATATAATTATATATTAAAATAAAATATTAAATATTGTTGAAAATTGTAATCATAACGTTATTTCCTATCACCCGATTATCGCTTTATACTATCCAATTTTTATCACTGTTCATTTTAAAATAATTACTTTCAAGAAATTAAATACTTCGAGCATCTTGTAATTCATAGTACATACAGAATAATTAATGATAAAGATAATTCTAAATAAATAATGTATCAATAAATAGATCTTATAAAAATTCAATGAACATAATTTATTTGATTGAAAATTTTAAGAAACTATTTTTTCACAATAATTAATAAAATATGTATTTTTATGTTTCCGATTTTTAAATTAGAAGTTTAATAAATATTACAAAAATCAGATAGAAATAAAATGTTATGATGAAAAATCAAAAGTTAAGTACTATTTTAGATAATATGATTTAAAATAAATGCTTCATTTACTATATAGAGTTCTTTATCGATTTTTTAACCAGTTATTATACATTTACATGAAATAATTCAATTGAGAAAAGACTTAAATCTGAAAAATTAAAATACATCTTATAACAATATATAAAACTTTTTTTTTATGCGATGTAATCCAATATATTATCATAATGAATAATACTATCTTTGTTTATAATATTCAGTTATTTATTAATATAATGTTTTAGAAATACTTATTTACCTAATTCATATAACTTATTAGTAAATCTCAGTTTAATTTAAGTTCAATTTTTATATACAATAATTAATATAAATTTGTAAATGACGTATAAAATAGACAAGGTTTTCAAATTTGGAATACTGCACTCAAATTAACAAAATGTTCCAGGTAACGTATCAATTCATCTAATCTAAATATTACTTATTTTTTTCTCTTACATTTTTATTAAATTTAAAAATATTTAAACTATTATATAACATAATATAATTAGATAGAAAAATATATTTTTAAATCTGAGTACATTCATTAGGTTTAGTAAACAAATTTAATTTGGCTAAAACCAATTATATTGCATTGACATGTTCCAAGCTTTTATTTTTCTGTGAATTTTATTCTATAAAAAATATTGGAAAAGTCTTACCCCGGAAACGCTGGTAGCTTGTGTTGTAACAAGGCCAGCGGCCACAGCTGCTGGCGAGGGTGATGAATCCGGCGAAGACGTCAACGATGAGACTTGAGGTATCTGTATTTCCTGCTTGATGTGCAAAAAAGGCGTGACCGTTGCGGGATAATTAGCCGGATCACCAAGAGTGCCCCGGATCGTCTGCAAAGCAAGTTGTCGCTGTCTCATCATCTGTAATTTTCGCGCCCGATCGCGTTTGTACATCGGTCCGAATTTGTTCCTGCCACCACGCATCCGATCTGCTCTGACCGCTGTAATTATACAAGTACTTAACTTTATTATTTAATTTCTTTCTATTTCATTTACAATTTATGTAATATACATTGAAAAATCCCTTTAGATATGTTTATAAGAAAACTGAATGAAAAAGCATTCATTTCATTATATTGAAAGAAAATTTTATATATTCAATGCATTATTTAATATACAAATTATTCCCTATATAAAATTTAAATACATATTGAAACACTTCACAACAGATTTAGTATTTTAGATTAGTTCTAGTAGTGTTTAATTTTTACATATTGTAGTTACTATATTAAAAAATCCTTTTTATATTTCGTAAGGTTTTAATTATTTTAATCAAGTAGTTAAAATTAATGTATAAATGCATTTTTAATTAAAACAATAACAGCTTAATATTGGTATTGTTATGTTTAAAATAAATCTCAAAAAAAATATTCTATATGAAAAAGTTTATTCTAAAGCCAATTTAAATATGCTTAAATATTAATTGATTCAAAAATAATATCCATAAAACTCTAAATAAATCATTAAACTAATAGAAATAATTTACAAAATAAACTCATTATACAATTCTTTACAATAGGAGTAAAAAATAAATTAATATCAGAAATAATATTTATACATAATAATTAAGTTACAATAAATAAAATGAAAAATAAATTTTAAAACAAAAAAAGAAAAAAGTAATAAAAATAAGTCATTAAATAAACAGTTTGATAACATATCAAAGAATGTTTAATAGTGGTTTACACAGCCTTGTTTCGTGCCTAGAAGTAGAGCTATTCCTTTAAGGTCGCAACGCGTGGAACGCGGAAGTTTAGCTAATCAAAAACGAAGTAGGGCACAAAGGCTGAGGGAGAAACCTTTTTAGTTCCACTTCTCTGTTAATCGACATCTTGTAAACAAAATTAAAATTTATATACATATATATATATATATATATATATATACAATGTTTTTGTTGAATGCTGATATCTACCAACTGAAATATAATTCGCTTTATTTATTTTTTTAAAATTCATTTGCCTTACTTTTTTTGTTTACGCAAAAGGTCATAATTATCTATGAAATGGTTAATATTAAAAAGAATGCATTATTAATCTACTTTCATAAGTCTGCTATTAGTTTCATTCGAGTAAATCTTAGTGCTACCTGACAAAAATTAAACTGTTGAAAAGTATTTTTTATTTTAATAAAATCTATTATATTAGATACAATGTAATATTATGAATTTAATAGGAAAAAATGTTTAAAAATGTATTGTTAGATTCCATAAATATTGTAAAAACTCGCAAAATAAAAATATTTTTCTTCATACTTAATTATTTTATATAAATATTCAACATCTTTGTAGAATTGCGTAATCACTGCATTGAAAAGAAATTAATTTTGTTTAAATTATTAAATAATTAGGTATTTAATATTATAGACATGCACGTGTTTATATGTTATATTATTTCAATAATCTTATAGATTACAGAAGAATAAATTGTACTTATAAATTTTTAATTTTATAATATTATATAATTCAAGTAGCTTATCTGAAATATTTTTCAAACAATATTTGCAAATTTATAATGCATCTGTATATAATAATTTTATTTTTATAAATTTAATGAAAGACCTTTATACTTATTTCTATTATATATCTTATAGCATATAGTTTTTTGTGTCTATTCGAGTATATAAGAACACATGAAATAAATAGAAGTTTTAAATATACCAGATTTAACTTTCTCGTAGTATACTCAATACAACTTTTTATATTTTTTATTTTAAAAATAAGAAATAAACCTTGTTTGTTACTACCCATATGTTCGCATGTATGAACGTGCCAAGATATTTTATATTTTTAATAGCATAGAGCTGTTACCATCTTCTGATATAAAGAAATTTGCACATTATTATGTATACATTGAATAATATTATGCTATTTCTACAATTTAAGTGCTAAATTTCTCTGAAAACGTAGACATTATTTGCGAAAGTTTAATATGATTTACTTATGCATTTTAAATACAAAATATCATTTAATGAAGAAGATTACTAATGACTTTTATAATATATTATACTTATCATACTGCTTTTATAATAATTATTTAAGAATTAAAAAGATAATTATAATTCTTTGCAGAAATATATCTGATTGTTTAGTCGACAATTAATCGCATTCATTAAATTATTAGAACATCAAAATAAATATGTAAGTCACATGGATTTTTTCAAATACAGACACTTCCATGAGTTGAGAGAGTGAGAGAGAGCGAGAGAGAGAGAGAGAAAGAGAAAGAGAGAAAGCAATGAAGTCTCGAAGAATTCATTGAAAGTGAAAGGAGTTTAGAGCAGGCAATCTACTTTGTTCATTGAAACTTATATGAATCCAGTTTCTGTATTTACCATTATCCATACCGATTACTATAATTGCTATTCTTGTTGAGGTACCTTGGAAAAAAAGAAAATGGAAGAGGACGCCTTCCTATCAGACCCGTGCTTACATATTATCTTTTAACTTAAAGTCACAACATTGTAGTTATCACAAAGATAGTTGTATGAAAATTAAGCTATGCATTTAGAATACAAATAAAAGAAATACAAATAAAGAAAGCATTGTTTTAATGTAATAAATTAAAAAAAAAGAAAATGTTAAAATTCCTAAATAAGATATGATACAGCAAGGGTTAATAAACTCCAATTACCATTCTAATCTACCAGAAAACAATCTAATTGTATTTGCAAACTGCACTCAGACTAATAATTCGAACCTACGCATGTTTGGCTTCTATGCATATTCCCATTAGCGGGTACATTTTCTCCTCACTTTTACTTATTTTCGTTTTAACGGAGTGTGTTACTATATTTGTACACAGATACTTGATATTTGACGAAACGTGCAATTTTACCCACTAAGACATTTTCGAGTAATAAGGAGAAAACACGGTAATTATAACAGCTGTATATTATATACAGAGCTGAGATATATGTATACATGCAGAAAAACTAGTATACTAACAATATTCAGTTCATTTGGCTTGAATTCAGTTTCCTCCAAATAGCTGCGTAAAAGCACTGCAAACGAATCAACTTCGCTTATCAGATGTTTAGTATTGCTAACAATGAAGAAATCCCATCGTATATCAGGTGTCAAATACTTTATTTATCAAATTTATCGAATGCTAAAAACAATTTCCTTATGTTTATTTGGAAGAAAAATTATAAATATATCAATGCATTCTTGAAGTTAAATAATGTTTAGTGTCTCTTTTCTACTTTATTATGCTTCGATTTACTTTTTTTCACTCTAATTTAATTTAATTTAGGTTCAATACATTTAAGACTATTATATATTTTTTAAAGTATTAAACACTCATCATTTTTTAATGGCGATACATTTATAATAATAAAAAATATGATTATAAAAATAAAGCAATTGTAATATGTTTCGATTAAGTATAAATATGTGTTAATTACTTTTATAATTATCAATTTCTATCATTTTATGTATAAATTTTTGGAATATAAATAGATATATTATTAGTTTACTATAATTGAATAAAAAAAATAACAATAAGAAATTAAATAAATACAATAAACGACCAATCAAAATATAATCATATTTAATATGATAGTAAATATTGATAATTATAAGTATTTTACCATAAGCTATTTTTTCAATTATTGGACAAATGTATCAGCCGTTATGAATATTATAAAGTATATTTTAATAATTATCATGCAAACAAAAAATTGATATTATTTTTAAATAAAAAGACTTCGTAAATACAATGAGTAGATCATGTTCAACTAAAAAACATATAACGAACATAATTTAAAATGTAAATAGAGTAGTATTAAATTATATTCTTAATTGTAAATAAATTGACACCTGCAATTGATCGAATATAGTAGCTGTGTTCAAATATTCCAATACAAATTTCGGATAAATATTAAATTTTTCATATGTAAATATATATCGAAAATGCAATAATCAACCACGTTTGCACAAACAAATATTGACAACAATAAACACATCTATCAAATACTGAAATATATTAATAATAAAAGATATTTTTTAATCTAGAGGTCTTTTATAAAATTGAACTTAATAAAATTTTTGTCAAAACATTAAACAATTTTCATTTTGAATTTAAAATATCTGAGTATAAGTAGGTTTATTTTTGATAATAGTATTTATAAATTTTATAAATTTATAAATTTCCTTTGCATCTAAAAATTATTTATACTATATGAAGCAAAGATTAAAGAACACGATTTGATATGTATCCAAGCAGTGTTGAAGTTTTATACATTAAGTTTATATTAATGTAAATAATATGCATTATATTTAAAAAATATTTTATAATATCCGACTGAAAATAATATATCTTTTGAACTACAGTAGGCTTTACTTTAAAAGATTTACTTTAAAAGAGTTATCAATGGAGTAGATATAAATAAAACATATAAAAGCTATATAGCCTATGTAAGTGATGAGATAATTAATATATTTTTGGATATGAAAAATATACAATTTAGGGACTGGCATTTACTCAATTTAACGATTAAGCGAGCTATACGATTTTATGAATTGGTTTAATAAGACCATTCACTTTTTTAATTAACTAAATTCAAGCAACTAGAATTTTTTACTTTTAAATTACTAAAAACTGATATCAATTGTATAAAAATTAACTTTTGTTAGATATACAGTTTGCTTATTCTATTGTACTATTACCTCCTTTACCACTAACCTCCTCCTCTCTTAAATAACTTTATAATGAGATTTACTTCTACTTTAAATATAAGGAGCTAAAACATATATGTTTTTATTTTATTATTTAACACTTGTAAATATTTTCATCATTTTAAAAAATATCTTTTATTTACAATAATTCATTTATAATAATGGAAAAAATATTTTGCCATTAAGTCATTTAATTAATTTATTTTGTACTTATAATTTACAATAACTCACACTTTATTCTTAAAAAAATCCAGTGAATGAATG